CCATGGATACAGACCAGGATGGAGGTGTGTGGCTAAGCTAATACTGGTGCCAATGTCCACAAATAAGACATGCTATTTGATATCCATCTATCTATCGTTTGTCTGACAGGAAATTGGTCGTTGTTCAATGGCAATGGAGGGGACTCTGGAGGATCAGATGACCCAGCTGAAGCAGTTTGAGCATGTGATTGTCAGCTACAAACAGAACATAGATAGATTGGAGGGAGACCACCAACTTATCCAGGAGTCACTTATCTTTGACAACAAACATACAAACTACACCATGGAGGTACTCATACACGCATCTTTTACACATTCTTGTTCACATTTATAAAAACATGTTTAAGCCTATAGTATTGAACACTACCTTTAAACTTTTAGGGTCAGTAAGATTTTTTTCCCGAAAGAAATGAATACTTTATATTCAGCAAGGACACTTTACAGTAAATTGATAAAACATTACAGTACAGTTACAAAGGAAGTTAATGAAGAGTTCATATGCAAAAGCCTCTAAATGCCATTTGAAATTTTCTTCTTTAATGATAATTTTTATCAAACTTGTATATTTAAGTTCAGTAATCTCACCTAAATAACAATTAATAGGTAATTATCATTGCAATTTAAGTGAAATCACTGAACTTAAATTTACAAGCTTGATAAAAATTATCATTCTAGAAAATTTCAAATGGCACTCTGAGGCTTTTGCATCTGAACTCTTCAAATGCTGTTCGTCTATTCAGCAAAGAATCCTGAAAAAAAATGTATCATGGTTTCCACAATTTTTTTTTTTTTTTTTACATGTTAAAGTAAGCACCAGCATATTAGAATGATTTCTAAATAATCATGTGACACGGAATACTGGAGTAATGGCTTCTGAAAATACAGCTTTGTCGTCACAGGGAAAAAATACATTTTAAATGTATGGAAACAGAAAATAGTGTTGTTTTTTCTGCATGTTTGATCAAATAAATGCAGTCTTGATGAACATAAGAGACTAACATATCTTGCCAACCACACATTTTTGAATGCATTGCATATTATAATGATCTATATTCTGACATCACATTAGATTTGTCACTTGATCCTGGTTTTTACAGCAGTATTTCTCTTTCCTCTGCAGCATATTCGTGTCGGCTGGGAACTCCTTTTAACTACGATCGCTCGCACTATTAATGAAATCGAGACTCAAATTCTGACACGTGATGCAAAAGGCATCAGCCAGGAGCAGATGAATGAATTCCGATCCTCTTTCAACCACTTTGATCGGGTGCTGTATTTATTTATTTTTCGTACACTAGACATGTGTCTTGTTGAATGGATGCTACACTAATCGTTGTTAAACCATCCTAACTAAGCGAAGTACTCAACCTCTTAGACTGAGCATTATACAAATCTGTAAATCTCTCATTTTAACTGAGACACAATCATTTTATATTTTCTTTATTTTACACATTCACTTCTTCAGAGGCATCACAAGGCAAGAGTGGTAATTATCTTTCCATTCACTTTAGCTTGTTCAATAACTGGAACAAATTTAGCTTGAAATAAGAGATCTTTTGCAGTAAAATCAGATTTCAAGATGTAAAGTTATGGAAGTAAAATAATGACAAATGCTTTGAAACAAAATATGTATTGCATTAACCCTGCTTGCATTGTATTTTTCCATTTCTATAAATGTTTAATGAATGAATGACTATAGTTTTCTTCATCAACATCCACTTGCACCACCTGCTGGTGAGATAGACTAGCAGATATGGAATTTATCAATCGGTAATCTATTGATATTCCTGTCGTTCCAAGACGTCAAATGTTGAATTTCTGTCGAATTTGAACCACAGAATTTGTGGAAGCGAAAAAAAAAGGCCCATAAATTGTCTGTTGAATATTATAGGTTATATTTTTAAGCAATATTAATTAGAAGTGCAATCTGGAATTTTTAATAATAAACATGTGTGAATGTTTTGAATTGAAATATTCACAGCTTAAATATGCCACCATGTTGACTTTCAGCTCATAAAAATGCAAGCCCTACAAATACAATGCATTAAAATGCAAGAAGGGGTTAATGCAATGCATATTTTTTCAAGTAAGTTGGTCAATTCAACAAGCTTTTTGTTTTCAAAAACTTTTGTTATTATTTTGCTTCCATACTATTTGAGCTAAACATTTTTTTTTTGCTGAAAAAGCAATGCCTCTTATACCTTATGAAGAAATGTTGTGGCGTTTTATCTTTTTATCAATCACCTTTTACTTTTCTTTATTTCTACTAACGTCCTGCTCTCAGGAAGAGAGGGGTAAACTCAGGCCTGATGAGTTTAAAGCATGTCTGTTCAGTCTTGGGCATTTAGGAAATGACAAACAGGTATTAACCAACATGACCTCTAACTCTTTACCCCAAAATGTAGTTCTTTGCATAGATTTATACGTATATGCAGAATATAGTTCTGATGTAGGCCTACCTCTGTTGTGTTTTTTCTTGTGTCTGTGGTTGTGTGCTGTCTCTTTGTCTGTACATCTGTGTGTCTCTGTGTTAGGTGCTGGCTCTTTCCCTACTATACATTGCTTCATTATTCCTACCATGTCGCTGTGTCACCCATGTACCCTCGACCTCTGCCCTTTAACCTTTCCCATGCAGAAGAAGAATAGGGCGATGGATTCTGATGACTTTAGGGCCTGTCTGATCTCGATGGGTTATGATCTGGTAGGGCCTTAAATAAGGTTCATTGCTTACGAACTAATAACCAATTTTCTTAACCATTTTTATCTCCTTTTTTTCAGTAAAAATGTCTATAAAAATACGTTTTATATATATTTAAAGCATGTCTGATCGGTCTCGGGCATATGGTATGTGCATGAATTTCAACAGACTACAATGTTGAGGGAGTTTTTAACTGCTTTGTGTGCGTGTTTTTCAGGGTGAGGTGGAGTTTGCTCGGATCATGATGCTGGTTGACCCAAACACTACAGGCGTTGTGTCGTTCCAGTCCTTCATTGACTTCATGACCAGAGAGACAGCAGACACAGACACGGCTGAACAGGTCATCGCTTCCTTCAGGATCCTTGCTGCAGACAAGGTGTGTCTTAACCTCAAAGTTTGTCAGAACAGTCTTTTGTAGCTCACATATTCTTTCCATATGCATTATATGTTGTTTGTTGTGTCTTGTACAGCCGTATATTCTGACAGATGAGTTGAGGAGAGAACTCCCTCCGGACCAGGCCGAGTACTGCATCAGCAGGATGCCCCCATACTCTGGCCCCGGGGCCCTGCCCGGAGCCCTGGACTACACTGCCTTCTCCACCGCCCTCTACGGAGAGAGTGACCTTTAACTCCATCGACACCTCTGACCTTTACAAATCAATCTCACTTGTTAACCAAGTAAATTGTTTACCCTTCTGATCCACAGTCCCATGAAATGAAAACTTAACAAATAAACAAAATTAACCCAAATTCAATTTTCAATGTTAGTTGATGTATTTTGCTAGACCGTTGATATGACATGTTTAATAAGGCAATGCAGTCTGGAAATGAAAAGCAATCAAGGAAGCTAAAAGAAAGCAATGGAGAGGTTATTTATCTGTGTTGGGAATTTTAGAATCACTTTGTTCTGAATCTTATCATTTATTAAATCTAAGGCCTGGAAAACTATTTTACTCTCCTATATATTGACTATTAAGAGAGAACATTCACATGCATGTCACTTATATTACAGCAAACACAGTAAGTACACTGAAATCAAATAAGATTAATTTAGCATTTTAGGTGTTATGCATTTTACTCTGATTTCTTTTTGATGTAATTTAATGAATTTTCAAAATGTTGGGAGATTAATCGTTTTTATTTTATTGCCGTAAGCACCAAATTCCTAAAGGTCACACTAGTTCAGTGTATGGTGACTGTACTTGATTGATTTGTGGTCAGTTTGTTAACCTGTCAACATCAGTTTTGATTTGTGAATGTTTGCTGTTGAATTATATTATCAAGAAAGCCAAATATGTGTTTTACAGTGACATAAATAAAATAAAGCTTACTTATGAAAAGATCAAGTCTCTTCTTTTGCTACATACTGAATGTTTTGAATAAAGCATAAATATTTAATATAGGCAGGCATGCAATATGTAATTATGTATAATATGTTGCATGATTTAGTATGTTTTTGTTTTTACCTCTATTTATTTGTGGTCAGAATTAATGGCACCCCTGGTAAATATGATAAATGTCTTTTAAAAAATTATTTTGCGTTGTTTATCCTTTTGATCTTTTTGATTAAAAAAAAAACCCTAACCTTTCATTGAAGTAAAAGAATTGAAAGTTGGTTGAAATCACATTATGAAATAATTTTTTTTTCTCCAAAACATGTTGGCCACAATTATTCTAACTCTTTTATTAAATACTTCTTGCAATCTCCTTTTGCCCAGATAGCAGTCTTCTTCTATAATGCCTGATGAGTTTGGAGTACACCTGAAAAGAGTTCGGAGACCATTCCTGCATAGAGAATATTTACAGATCCTTCAGATTCACAGATCTGCCAATAATTGTGGCAAACGTGTTTTGGAGTAAAACATTTATTTCATAATGTAATTTACCCCCACTTTCAATTCTTTTACTTCAATGAAAGGGTAGATTTTAGCAAAATCTTTGAATGAAACTAAATATATATATATATATATATATATATATATAGATAGATAGAGAGAGAGAGAGAGAGAGAGAGAGAGAGAATTCACATTAATTAAGTAAGTAAGTTTTTCTATGCTTTTACATTCTTCTTTTCTTTATTTCTTGCTTGTTAGCTTTCTCCATTGTAAATACCAAATATGGAGAATTGCTTTCTTTTCCACTTTAACTTTATCAGATCTCAGCAGTATTATCTCATGATGGGTGGTATCGTGGTCTCCCTGTCCTGGGATGAGTTCAGCACCTGCGGCTTGGGGAGTGGAGTTCTTCAGTCTTCTGGTTCTCACACACAGATCCCTAAAGTCCGGCTACATAGTCACTGAACATGGATATTGGAGAAGCGGAAGATGAAATCCAGTTTCTGCGAACTGTAAGTAAAATTGACTATATTATAATACAAATTTGAATGCAATTAATAATGTGTTGACTTTCTTTATGCTACACTTCTGACAGTAAAAGTGCTAATTACTAAATTGCAATTGGAATTGTTATTAGATTGATGTTATAGGAACTTAACTTCATAGCAGATGGTTTACAGAAGACTATCAGATTTTTTATTTATTTATTTTTTTGGCCATGCATTTGGATATACGGACATTATCAATGTAATCAATGTAACTTTGTGTATTTATCATTAATTGTTGTGTCTGTTGTCATATACAGTTATGAAATGCAATGATGTGATTTACAGTGTTTGAATTCACATTTTAGAGAGTTTGACCCATATCACTAGTGCCTATTTTTACTTTGTGTTATCAGCAGAAGAACATGGAGAGTCTGTTGGATGTGTGAGCTATCCACTCTCAGCTCCATATCTTAAAAACAGAGATAAACATGCTCTCTTTTTCTTACACAGATACAGTAAACACTTCCACTGAGTCATTTAGTGCATGCATTTGTAACAGTAAAGTGCAGAAAAGGAATTAATTGATTTAGATTGTGTAAATAACAGCCTTAATTAAGACTTAACTTTGAGTGTATGTGTGTGTGTGTGACCCATTTTCTGGTCACTGACAAGCTGGAGGTGTTGGAATTCTCCATTCACTGAATGATATTCAGCCCTTATAAGGCTGCTCTGCTCCAGTGCAACATAAAACACTGCTGTTCTACATACTGTAAAATGAGCCATGACATTTAATCTAGCATATGGAGCCTTTTATTTGTTTAGAATTTATTTATAATCTTCATTTAACCAGGAAAAATTGGGCTCTCTAATCACAGATATTACAAATATGTTAATTACTTACATAAAAACATGGTAGCCTATTTTTGATAACACTTAATTTTAAGGTTACATAATTACATGGTATATGATATAATATAATAATAATATAATATAATATAATATAATATAATATAATATAATATAATATAATATAATATAATATAATATAATATAATATAATATAATATAATAATAACAGTAAATCATGCATCATTAGTAACCAGGCCCTAAACAACCTTAACCTTAAGTGAAAGTGATTTGCTCAGTACTTATTCATGTGATTTTTACACTATAACAACGTCATATTTAACAAACAATTGCATGTTGAACAATGTTGCTGATTCATTTCTAATACTAGATTCATTTTCATTACTTTATTACTGATTCATTTTACTTTACTGAGGTTTATATATTTAGTTTTGGGGTGTACATGCATTTATTCAAAACTTGTATGTTATTTGTTTGCTTTGCTTTGCAACATGTTCACTTTTTCAGAAGTTAAAATTGAATAATTACTAAGTTAACTGATCATTTTCTAGAAATGTATAGCAGTCTTGACCAAAATGTAATGCCTGGACAGCAAAGTAGTGCTATACTGAAGACAATTAATCAAATCTCAATGTATCATGTAGCATTTTGGGGTGAACCAACCCTTTAATTTATGTTTTTTTTTTTTTTTTTTTTTTTTTTTTTGTGAGATCAGATAAGAGTCTATTTTCTAAGCTGTGGTCAGTAATGTGAATGTTTTCAGCGGGATGAGCTGGTGTTGAGGTGTTGCTCATCAGGCCCTCATCTGAAGAAACTGTGTTTAGCTGCAGAAGGTTTCGGCGACCGGTTGTGTTACCTTGAGTCCACCTCCAACTCAAAGGTGAGATGCTCATTTACTTAATATTTTTAAACTAAGTCACTGCAATGTGTAAGAACAGTCTGTGCATGATGCTTCAAAAACAGCTCCTGCAGTTTCATGTTGTCTTTCCTCATGTTGACAGAACGTTCCAGCAGACCTTTCTGTGTGCGTGTTTGTTCTTGACCAGTGTCTGTCTGTCCGAGCGCTGCAGGAGATGCTGGCCAACCATGAAGACCAGTGTGCAGGGGTGGGTACTGTGATGAAAAGCACTTCAGACAATTCAGAATTCAGCGAACAGTTATCAATTCAGTCAGTGGATGAATATTCAGTGAAAAATGTCACCCACAGTATCTTTTAAAAGTTTGGGTCACAACTTTTATTTCAGCAAAGATGCAATGAATTGATAAAAGTGATAGGCATTTATAAATTTACAAAAGATTTCTATTTTTAAATAAATGCTATTCTTTTGACTGAAAAAAAGAATAAACAGCACAGTTGTTTTCAACATTGATAATAATAAGAATATTTCTTGAGCACCACAACATCATATTATTCAACACGAGAGGTGGACAGTAAAAATTAAAGGGTTATGAAGGCAGGCATAGATTCAGAAGCATGAAGGTAGCCCTACTGTTAGGCCTTGGCATACAAAAATGCAGCAAAAATATAACAATGCATTCATTTACTTTAGTAAGGAAGTTGTATACTTAGGATCATTGGAAAAAACGTAGCCCACCTCTGCCACATTTTTCCAAAACGCAAAATACATACCAACACATATCACTGCTGCTTCTAAAATAAATGAACACTAGAGGCAGTAAAACAGCAAGCACTTTTGATCGTCACACACAATTATGATTTCAAGGCAGGGCCAAACAATAAACACAGAGTGTTTTGTTTCAGTCCAGTGAGGCAGTTGGGCGTCGTACTCTTCTCTATGGCCAAGCAGTGCTGTTTCGACATGTTTACAGTGACATGGTAAGACCAGGCTTTATATTCTGTTAATTAGTGGCTTCCATACTGGTTCTATGAAGTGTAAATTTGGAATCTGCTGTCCTGTTTTAGTATCTTTGCTGCATGTCCACATCAGGCCTCTCCTCTGACAAACTGGCTTTTGATGTTGGTTTGCAGAAGGAAAAAAAGGGTAAGCTCATATTCTCTTTTAAACACTGAATATTTTGATAATCACCAGGGCTGCCATACATTGATGTTTTGATGATGGTTTCAGGTGAGGTGTGTTGGTGGACAGTTCACCCTGCCTCTAAACAGAGGTCAGAGGGTGAGAAAGTCAGAGTGGGTGATGATTTCATCTTAGTTAGTATTTCCTCTGAGAGATACTTAGTGAGTAAATTCATCTATTCTTCCATCTGTTCACCTATTTGCCTGTCTGTATATCAATATTTGTATGCAGTGTAACAACCTTTCGCTCTCTTTATAGCATGTGTCCTGGAGTAATAGTGAAGGTAATAACAATGGCATTGGTCGGGTGGATGCTTCCTTCCAGCAAACATTGTGGAGTGTGGCCCCTGTTTCTTCTGGGACTATGGAGATGCAGGGTAGATGACTGATTTTATACTATCAATTTAAACATTGTTTAGTGTCTGAAGGTCTTAATGGCTGATTTTCATGCTTATTGACTGGCTAAATACAGTACATTGTCAAGAAATACACACACACACATTTTTTTTTCTTTTGCCATATAGGCTATATAGTATGTTTCCAATATTTTTACATTTGCTCATATTGTATTTTATAAACATGGTTAACATGTAAAACATATAAACATGTAAAAATATATAGGGGTAAATATGGATGTAAATACAATATTTTATAATGTAATAATTTTGCTGGTGGTTTGTATTCTTTTTATTTTTTGATGAATTTAATTTTGAATTGTAGGTCATGTACGAGGAGGGGACACTGTGCGTCTGCTACATGGCCACACAGATGAATGTTTGACCATTCCTGCAGCGGATCACAGACAAGAAGAACGCAGGTCAGAGAGAGGTTACGTTACTGATCGGAGACAGATTGCTGACATTTATTACAGCTTTTCCCTTCATGACCATTTTTCCTTTCTTCCTCCAGATCTGTCCATTTCGAGGGTGGCTCGGTATCTCTTCAGGCTCGATCTTTATGGAGGCTCGAAATGTTACATGTTGCGTAGGTGTCCCTTCAGCTGGTTTGCTGATGACAGTTGAAAGTAGATTCCCTTTGTGTTTGTCAGATTGTAATAGTAACAGATTGTTTGCAGGTGGAGCGGTAGCCATACTCACTGGGGTCAGCCGTTCCGTCTTCGGCACCTGACCACCGGATCATACCTGGGACTGACTCACGATCAGGGACTACAGCTTGTGGAAAGAGAGAGAGCCGATGTCAAAAGTACAGCATTCTCCTTCCGTGCATCAAAGGTTGGATAATATCATCTCTAAACCCAACATAAACCATATTATAATCAATAAGTAATTGTGGTTATGTAGTATAATCATTTATATATTTTGTTTTTGTGGTGATATATTAAGTTGTGATGATCAATGCAAACTTTATTTTTTTATAGGAAGAGAGCCAGAAGAGCTCACACTTTGTTAAGAGGAGAGATGGCATGGGCGTACCTGAGATCAAATATGGAGACTCTCTCTGTTTCATTCAGCACATTGACACTGGGCTCTGGCTCACATATCAGACCACTGACACTAAGAGACAGATGGAAAGTGTGCTACAGAGACTGGTAAACCTGTGTAAATAAATCAAATAAGATCATACTAGATAAGATCACTTACAATACCGTTTAAATGTTTGAGGGTTGACATTTTTAAGTCTTTCAGCAATGTATCTGCTCAACAAGACTGCATTTACTACAGTAAAAAAATTATCGCTATTTAAAATAACTGTTTTCTATTTGATTGTTTTAATATGTTATATATTCCTTTGATGGCGATGCTGAATTTTTAGCATCTTTAGTCCTGTCACATGAACCTTCGGAAATCATTCTAATATGCTAATTTGCTGCTCAATATATTTATATATATATATAAAGATGCTAAAAATTCAGCATACATATATATATATATATATATATAAGTATAAGTATTTATTTGAAATATAGATTTTATTACATTATAAATGTCTTTGTTGTCAAATAACTTAATAATTAAAATAATTTTTAAAAAAAACATCTATATCTTACTGACCCCAAACATTTGAACAGTAGTGTCATTAGTAGTGGAACTGCAATTAAATAAAGCCAATACCTTTCTTTTGTAATTGTTTTGTTTAATATTTACATTCTGGTTCAAATGCATGAAGTGAATTGGTTTTCTCTCGCAGGCTGTTTTGCAAGCAGAAGGACACATGGATGATGGAATCACCCTTTCTCGCTCTCAACAGGAGGAGTCACAAGCTGCTTGTTTAATTCGTAGCTCCGCCCTTCTCTTCTCCCAATTCATTAGGTAACAATACAGTTACAGCTTACAGAATACTGTGTGCTTATCAAATTTGCTGGAGAATTTTGAATTCCAACTCTTTTAAAATCCTTTTTTTAAAGCACAAAGCCTATTCAAAGAAGCACATTTATGTTTCAGAAGGATTTTTTTTTTCCTTTCTGAAGGGGACTAGATGATGTCGGTCAGAAGGAAAACATTACTGATTTGGTTCTTCCAATTGAGATGGTCCGTCTGACACTGCAGAATTTGCTGGGTTATTTTCAATGTCCTGAAATGGGGCAAGATCACGAGGTCAGACAGGGAGATATTCGAGCACTTAAGAACAGACAAAATCTCTTCCAAGATGAGGTAATACCTGCAGCAAATGGGACAACACATATATGTGGCCACACACTGCAATAATGTCTGAATCATATACTTTTTTGTTCTGCTTCATTGTGCCTTTCTCAGGGTATAATCCCTCTGGTGCTGGACTGCATTGACCACCTGCATGTGTACAATAGTGCGACTCATTTTGAAGAGGCTGTTGGGAAAGAGACAGGAGAGTCATGGGAAAAGATTTTGAACTCTTTTTATGAGCTGCTAGGTATAGGATAAATTGTTTAGAGATTTATAATAAAGGTTTAGCTTTGATTTACCAAATGTCCATTCCATTTCCCTACAGCTGCTCTTATCAGGGGTAATCGGAACAACTGTGCCCAGTTTTCTGGATCCTTGGACTGGCTGGTCAGCAGATTAGAGAGGCTGGAGGCCTCCTCTGGTAAATGTCCTGTAGAATTATTTAGTTTGTGTTTTGACTACGATGTCTAAGTTGAGTTTAGGGTCTAAACATGATGTCACAAAGAGTCTCCCCTCATTTGTTACTCGTTTCTCCTTTTTTTTTAGGAATATTGGAAGTGTTACATTGTGTTTTAGTAGAAAGTCCTGAAGCTTTGAATGTTATTAAGGAAAGCCACATAAAATCCATCATCTCACTTTTGGACAAACATGGAAGGAACCATAAGGTAATGTACAGTATGTTTTAAATGTTTGGGGTCTGTAATATATATATATATATATATATATATATATATATATATATATATTTAAATCTCTTGCTCACCAATTCTTCATTTATTTGATCAAAAATATAGTAGAAACAGTAATATTGTGAAACATTTTTACAATTAAAATAACTAAATTCTAAGTATAATATACTGTATGTTTAAAATGCAATTTATTTATTTTTTTGTGAAATATAGCGTTTGAAACAACATGATTACTTTTATAATATTATAAATGTCTTTACTATCACTTTTAATACATTTAATCTGTCCTTGCTGAATAAAAGTATCATTTTTTTTTTTACTTAAAAACTCTGTATTTATGTGTTCTGTAATGATTGTGGATTTTACTATTTTTTAACATGTTTATGTGTGTGTTTACTGCATCTGCAGATCTTGGACGTGTTGTGCTCACTCTGTGTGTGCCATGGCATGGCTGTCCGCTCTAATCAGAATTTGATTTGTGATACACTGCTGCCAGAAAGAGACCTTTTGCTACAATCAAGACTGGTTAACCAAGTTTTCAGGTGATCTGTTATCAATAAGCTTAACTCTTGAGTTTAACTCCTACACATTCTGAGGTTTTTAGCACATCTAAAAATATTATTTTAGTCTGTTATAATATAGAAATTGACCAAACAGTGAGAATAAATGTTCAAAATGAAATCTCATTGAACATATTTCTCTGTTTAGTGCACGTCCAAACATCTTCCTGTGTGCAAGAGATGACTGTGCCCAATACAGGAAATGGTATTATGAGGTTGTAATTGAGAAGGTGGAACATTTTGTGACAGCAGAGCCTACTCATCTGCGAGTGGGTTGGGCCAGCACTGAAGGGTATCATCCCTCCCCCACAGGGGGTCACGGCTGGGGGTCAAACGGTGTTGGAGATGACCTCTGCTCTTATGGCTTTGATGGACTCCAGCTTTGGACAGGTAAGATGGAAACTAAGCTTGTACACTATGTGACATTAAAACATAAGTAATGCTACTGAAAATTCAGCTTTGCATCACATGAATACATTACATTTAAAAAAAAAATAAAACAATTAAAACGGTTATTTTTAATTTGTAATATTTCACTTTCTTGCATATTTTTTTTTTTTTACTGTATATTTATCAAATAAACGCAGTCTAGTGAAATCTAAACACTGTTTGTGATTTCTTTCCAAGGAGGTGTTGGTCGGAGGGTTACCTCACCCAATCAGCACTTGCTAAGGGAGGATGATGTCATTAGTTGCTGTCTTGACCTTATTGCAACCTGCATCTCCTTTCGGGTCAATGGACAGCCAGTTCAAGGCATGCTGGAGAACTTCAAAGTGGATGGATTGCTGTTCCCAGTGGTCAGCTTCTCAACTGGAGTGCAGTGAGTTGCTTTCTATGGTTTTTGATTTAATTGTAGGTTTGATTGTTTACCATTCAGCAAACAATGAAAGATGAGTCCTACTTCATTTTATTTTAGATCAACCTAACCATTTAAATGTTGACCTGTAGGACGTACCCTCGATGGCTTAAATAGTGTCTAAATTTATTTTCCCATCAGGCTGCGTATGCTGTTTGGAGGTCGACAGGGGGAGTTTAGGTTTCTTCCTCCTGCTGGTTTCTCTCCGTGCGCTGAAGCTCTCCTCCCCAAAACATGCTGCAAGCTGGAACTGTGTCAGGAACTCACACAAAATCACACTGAAAGCCAACGTGACCTCTTAGGCCCTGTTGTACCTATTAGTCCAGTGACCTTTACCCCCATTCCAGTGGATTCCAGCCAGGTACTTTCAATTTTAAGTATGCACTGATTATTTAAAATTTAGCATCAGTACAGCAATTACTAGCAGTTAAGCCACAATCTGTCTTGCATCAACATTTATGAGTGTCTGACACCCCTGAGCTCAACTCTGTATCTTGTCAGGTTGAATATCCTCCACAGCTGGAGCAGATCAAGGAAAGATTAGCGGAAAATCTCCATGAACTCTGGCTTATTGACAAAATAGAGCAGGGCTGGAACTATGGACCAGTAAGTGTCTAAGGGCATTTTCACATCTTTGTTTCAGAACCTGTTCTGTTTTCTCCCTTAGTTCAGTTCGTTGATGCATATGCTCGGATCTACACCAAAACAGTCGGTCCCACAATTCATAATGGGAAATGCGTATGTGTTTTATAAAAAGCAGCAGTGTTTGATTCTGTGGTTGAGCACAATAGTTATCACAGTTGAAAACCAAACGCCACTTCATTGAAACTGGACATGCTGTCCGAACAAAGCCTTGATTGCCACTCTAATTCGTATATATATATATATATATATATATATATATGAAGAGTTCAGATGCAAAAGCCTCTAAATGCCATTTGAAATTTTCTTCTAAAATGACAATTTTTATCAAGCTTGTATATTTAAGTTCAGTAATTTCACTTAAATGACAATTAATAGGTAATCTTCATTGCCATTTACGTGAAATTACTGAACTTAAATATACAAGTTTGATAAAAATGATCATTTTAGAAGAAAATTTCAAATGGCACTTAGAGGCTTTTGCATCTGACCTCTTCATATATATATATATATGGAGATGTGGTATATGTGGTATGTGGAATGGAATGGTAGCAATAGTTTGGCTATTGTAACAATTTAAGTCCTTGTTTTGGAACAAAGTAAACTATCTATAGTTTGGAAACTCCCTAACTTCCATTCAGTTGCTCCTTATCCTGCATATCTTCTCCTAGGTTAAAGATGAGAGCAAAAAAATACACTCGTGTCTAGTCGAATTTTCCACACTTCCAGATCAGGAGCGAATTCATAAACTTCAGTCATCTGAGGAGATCCTCAGGTATGTCATGGATTATTGTGCCTAATATACTGTTAATTAGCTTTCCGTTATTAATCATGCTTCCTTTTGTCTTGTGGAAGGACTCTTTTGGCTTTTGGTGTCCACATTGGACTCTCTGATGAACATGCAGAGGAGAATGTGAAATATGTTCGCCTTTCAAATAAGTATGTCAAGATAAAATTCCTCAATTCCCAAGACAATTAAATTTTCCAGTTAACAATGCAACAGTGATAAGTGCTTTTTAAATGAGTCCTAATTACATCATCCTTGTTAAATGAATCATAATGACATCACCTGTCCAGGTATGAGCTATGGAACGGATATAAACCAGCCCCTGTGGATCAGTCATGTGTTGTGCTAACAGCTTCTCAGGAAGAGCTGGTGGAAAAACTGGCTGAGAATGAACACAACATCTGGGCCAGAGATCGAATCAGGCAGGGCTGGAGCTTTGGACCACAGCAGGTGGAAATTAATATTTTATTGAAAACAAACAATGTAAATGTGATCTTGAGAATTGGAATCAAAATGCCAAATGTGTCCATATGTTGTACTTGTAAGTGGTATATCTCCAACTTGGATTTTCCTTCTTTCAATGTATTTGATGTGGAAATATTCAGTTCAATTCAGTTCAATTCAAATTTATTTGTATAGTGCTTTTCACAATACATATTGTGTCAAAGCAGCTTTACAGAAAGTGCTCACCTGACTAAATACTGTAGTTTTTTTATCTCTTTTATTCAGGATTTTAAGTGTAAGAGAAGTACCCAACTAGTGCCATTTTCCCTGTTGGATGAAAAGTACAAACAGGCGGGTAGAGATGCCACGAGGGACACTCTGGGTACCCTTCTTGGGTTTGGATACACTGTAGAGCCGCTGGAACAAGAACATGGTGGGACAATTATCTTTTTTGGCAGTATAGTCAGATAAAAAAAGGGAAAATTTATATTCAGAAATGGTTGTAACTTTGTAATGTTGCAGTTTAAGCATAAACAACATCTGCACACTAAATAAAGTTAGAAAAGTAAAATCATAATCAACCACCCCTTTAAAACATAGCAATGCTTCACTATATTAATACTGTTTTTACTTTATTTGCTCAAATAAATGCACCCTTGGTGAGCATAAGAGGCTGCTTTCAAAAACATTTAAAAAAAAAAAATAGTATGGTTTTAAATCAACATAAACATTTGTTTTATTTTTGTTTCCAATAGCCTCAAGTATCAATATTAAATCTGTGGCTGCTGAGAGATTTCGGATTTTCCGCCTGGAGCAGCCCTTTGCAGTGCAATATGGCAAATGGTACTTTGAGTTTGAGGCTGTAACTGATGGACAGATGAGAGTGGGCTGGGCACGACCTGGATGTAAACCTGACGTAGATCTTGGGTCAGATGAACAGGCCTTCGTGTTTGATGGTTCTAAGGTATTTCAATGATAATTTATTATGGAAAAGCCAATTTTACTGAGATCGGATACTGACTATACACTGAAAAAAATAATATGCTTTATCTAATCAATAAAATTGTGGCAACATATTACAAGCAATATTATTAATTAAATTGTACAAATTAGAATTAATTCTAATTTGTACAATTTAATTAATAATATTGCTTGTAATCTGTTGCCACAATTTTATTGATTAGATAAAGCATATTCATTTTTACAGTGTACTGACTGAGTCTGAGATACCTTTTGGAACAATTAAAGATCATAAAATGGAAAAGAAAGATATCGGGTAATACAATTTTTGTTCATCTCTTACATGCATGTTTTAGGGGCAGTGGTGGCATGGTGGGGAAGAGCAATTGGGGAGCCGCTGGAAGAGGGGTGATGTAATTGGCTGTTTGTTGGACCTGACTACATGCACTATGATGGTTACTCTCAATGGAGAGCTGCTGCTGAACGGTCGTGGCTCTGAACTGGCTGTAAAAGACTTTAATATATCTGATGGTATGTTCTCTGTGGTCATTTTCCATTCTGACACATAATTATCAAATTTATTTGAATAATATATATATTTAAATGTGTATTTTTTTTATTTTTTTTTTGCTTTGTATAACAAACATTTCTTGCTGTCTTCTCTTTGATAAATTCTAGGTTTCCTGCCTGTTTGTAGTTTAGGGATAAACCAGGTGGGTCGTCTAAATTTGGGTCGTCAGGTTGACTCACTGAGATACTTCAGTGTTTGTGGCCTACACGAGGGATACCAGCCCTTCGGTCTGAACATGACCAAAGATCTACCTTTGTGGATGAGTTGGAGAGAGCCTTTGTTCATTCCTATACCAGATGACCATTCTAACATACAAGTTAGTTAATTTACATAATTTTTATGAAATGATATTTTATTATATTTCATCATATTTTTGCATATAAACTGAGCACTTGTTTTTAATTTAATTTCCATTCAATTTAATTTCATTCTTTTCATTATTTCATTTGATTATTTCATCTGATTAACTTGCTGTTATTCCAAACTCATATCCCTTGAAGATGCTGATAGCCTTCGTGTATATTTAGGACTCGACTGAAGTATGAAGTCTTCTTTACATTAAGTTTGCATCCAAATGTTACATTCTAAATATGGAAACGTTGGACAAAATAGGAGATGCGTGAACCCAACGTTGGTACAGTTTTAGTTTTGATTCAAATAAATTAGTTTAGGCTTGGTGTTTAAAATAGGCTAAATGTTGTTTGTAATAAAGGTCACAATAGCCTATTTTTAAAGGCTAATATGTATTTTTTTTTTTATTATATGTGGCTGCTTATTTTTCATTCTTGTTGTTTTAAAAAATTCGCGTTTTTTTACAACGATGTGACGCGCGTGTGTTTTACTCTTAACATGACCCGGTGCGCCACAACACCACACACAAGCGTGTATCCTTTAGAAACGATTCTCTGTGCGGAACTGAGGATAAAACTGATGACAGAACAGTTTGATCTTCGGCTGACAAATCAGAGGAAAGGGGTGTTTCATTCCTGCCTACGTGTAGTAATTGTACAAATCAAATATTCAAGCTCTTTATTCATTTTTCTTCCTCAGAACGAAAAACAAAATTGTTGTTTTTCGTTTCTTGTTGGAAAAACAAACAAAAAAAAAACTGAAAAGGAACTGTTTTCAAATTTTTTCTACTTTCAATATTAAAACGACTGAACGAATGATACACAGACGGATTTATTAACTTTTGAAAATATATCTCGGACACAAATACATAAAAATATTTCGTTTTATTCTTATTTTAAAATGTTATACATAAATAATATAAATACAATTTTGAAATTATGTCATGGACACATATAAAATATTTATTATTTTTAGTAATAAAATCTTCTCTATTTAAGGCAGTACCACCACGACTAAATTTCTTAGTTGTTTTGCTACCTGAATTATTTTATGGTCACATACAATGTTCTACATGTTGTACATATAATGTTTAAATTGCTACCCAGGTGATTCGTGTTGGAACAGTCGACAACACCCCATGTCTGAAAGTAACACAGAGGTTTTTTGGGAAGAAGGAAAGGGGCACAAGCTCTGTTGGATTTTACCGTCTGAGCATGCCAGTCGAGTGTGCACAGGTTTTCTCCGGCCCTGGCGAGGTCACTGTGCCCCAAAGCAGCGGTGTGGTGTGCCAACTCAAAGACCCAGAGGAAGGAGAAGCAGATTCTGACTTTGAGTTACTGATGAAAGCTCACAGATACGCAGGATCCAGAGATGAACTCAATAATCACAAGGACCACAGTCAGGAGAAGCCATCCAGACTCAAACAGCGGTTAGTTCACTTCACTCCTCCTTGTTCACTTTTGCTTCTAGAACACCAAACACAATTAACTAACATGATTAATCTGAGGAGAAATTATTGACTGAAATTATTTTTAATTGTATTATTTAAATTAATATTAATTGAAATTATTGAGAAAAATTGTCTTTACACACTTGTATCAATTGGTGGCTGCAGGTTTATGTTGAAGAAGAAAACAGAGTTAAACACTAGTCACTCATCAGCTCGTCTGTTGGAGGAAGTGTTGGCTATCGAGAAAGATGAAGACAACCGCCTCGTTCACTGTACTACGGTAGACAATAACCCTTTTCTAATTGGTCCATTTGTTTTGGGTCACTGAATGGGAACTTGTGACTTTCAAGCAAGTAGTCTTAAGTTACTGTATGTTTAACATAATCTTATTTCATCTTTCTCACCGCAGTATTATTACTCTGTGAGAATCCCCTACAGTCAGGAGCCCTCATACGTTTGGGTCGGATGGGTAACTTCGAAGTTCAACCATCATGATGTGACCTTTGACCTGGACAGCATTTGCAGTGTCACAGTCACTCTTGGGGATGAGTGGGGCAAAGTTCATGAGAGGTTAGACTCATGGGGCATTTGAAAGATGCTGTATCTTTTTAAAATCTGGACCGTGTCAGGGTGAATCATGCATTCCAACACTGGGAACCGTTCTAACCATTGACTGGTGTCTAATAATTCAGAGATTGCCAATGATTGCCTTTTTGACACATTTCGCTTGACGCAGTGTCTCGTTCCCAGTTCTCAGGGAACAAAGGTTACAGTCGTAACCTGAGACGTTCCCTTTCAAAGGAAACTCGAACTGCGTCAAGCGCTGAGGCGTTCCGCATAGCGCTTGGCGCAGTTCAGGTTCCCTTCGAAAGGGAACTGATCGTCTGATCTTCATCAAACTTCATGGAAATTATTATAGACGTCAATTATAGATTCAAATCTAACCCCTCCTACACCCAAAGAAAAAACTCTTTGAAAAAAATGACACAAGGTCATGAAATATTCAATAAAGGCTAATTCAAAATATTAATAAACCTGTCTTTAATATTATGCTGTTCTGTATGTATTTGTTAGTGTCAAGCGTAGCAGCTGCTACATGGTGAGTGCAGCAGAGGGCAGTAGTCTCTCCCACAGTCGCAACAGCAGCGGGCTGGAGATTGGCTGTCTGGTTGACACAGCAACAGGGCTCCTGACATTCACTGCTAATGGCAAGGAGCTTGCAACTTACTTCCAGGTAAACATCAAAGTCAGAAGTGGTGACATTGCATTTATTTAGCATTGCATATTTTACCTATCATCATTGAATCATTTAGGTTAAAGTACATTAGTGTATTCTAATAATCTACACAGTCCAATAATATATTATGACGCTTGCATTTGGAAAAATACCATAATTTCAAGCATATCTTGACTATGTAGTCATGATTTGAGCCATAAACAAGCAGAAAGACACTTTCTACATACTTTTTATGACAAACTTTTCCTCATTCATATGTTTAGAAGTGTACATTTAGTTTCAGCATTGTCTCTCCTTTTGTAGGTGGAACCTGGCACCAAACTTTTCCCTGCTGTATTTGCTAAACCCACCAGCCCTGATGTCTTCCAGTTTGAGCTGGGACGTATCAAGGTACACCCAATACATCAGTTATGTTCTCCATGGCCAGACCTAATAAATCTGTGAAAAGGTGCTTCTTTCAGCCCAATGGCCGATGCCGATGTCCTTGCAGGCTTTAAAAGAATCCCATTGCCAGCAATGCCTCATTTGGCATTAATAAATAAAAACCTTGAATGCTGTATCAGTCTTGGGCTGTAACACATCCATTTTGGCTGAGTTTGGCTTAAAGCTGCAGTCCGGCGTTTTTCCTCTTTATCGCCATCTCTGTTTGAAATCTGCAATTGCAGTCGTTCGCGGAATTTCGCGAATACTTCAACACCCTCTATACGACACAGCGTGGATAAACACAATGTTTGAGGAGACTGTGAGGCTGTCAGTCACCGTGCCAATGTGGATACTGGCATTCAGAATCACAGATTATTATTTATGACCTAAGTATGACCACCATAATAATTTTCACTGGAAAATGTCATTTGAACTAGTAAGAAATATCCACTTTTGTTCTGGTTCTGACATTGCAGTACATCGCGCTGATTAAATCTAACAATCACTTATTTATCATATCATGCAAAACCATGCAAATGTTACTTTGTTCTCAAATTGTTAATGTTAACAATGTAAGCCAGCATTGCGTGGACTACATGTATCCTTGTTTTCGCATTGGTCCGGTTGCAGTCTCTTTTTTTCTGTTGCCACTCCAAAGTCCGAACGAAGTCTTTTGCATTTTACAGCGGGTGAGTCTGTTGTCACTGGTGATTGTCGTTTGAACCTTTCTGGATCCGCCATCAAATTGATTAGTTTAATTATATCAAGTGCTGTGAGAAAAGGCTATAAATCTCCACCTCCAGCATCCTCACTCACAATATAGCCTACTAGCCGAGACTCTTCTTTAAATTATGTGTACAGATGTGACGTAATGATGCAAAGACATGCTTGAATCTCCCACTCAAATCGGGAATATATTATATTATATTAGAACGCCCAGAAAAAAGTATTTCACTATTGATCTGTTCTTAACAAATAAAACATCAAATAACTTTGTATCTATATAGTTTTCCTATAATATTTTCAGCGGTCTATATTTGTAATGTTGCTCACAGAATGTGATGCCACTATCAGCGGGAGTTTTTTGGAGCGAAAGAAGAAATGCAAGACCTCAGTGCCCTCCCAGATTGTGTGTTCAACACTTAACGCCTATGCGGTGGACCCGAGTACCTGACCACTCTCAACCTGTGGAAGTGACCCGTCTGGAGGAGAGAAATGGCTGGAGAGCTCGCTGCACTCAGATCCGACAGATCATGACCCTGCATATACCCGAGGATAACAGGTCAGAGGTCACTTTGGAGGTGTCAAGTTGCAGCTAACGTATACATTTGTTCATTTTTTTTTGCCATTTTTATCTATACAGTAGAGCTAGAAATATTACTAAAAAGAAAAGTTTTGATTTTAGATGTGACATCTATTTTGTGGCATATTAGTTTGAATTAAAACTTTCAACCATGACAGCTTAGTTTAGTCTTAATTTCTGAAGAATAATTAAATGTATATTCACAGAATCCACTCAGGGATATACAAATGCGAGAGTCCACGAAACAGAGTGTGTAGCACAAACAATACCAGACAAGTGAATGAACCAAACTTGAGGGAGTTCACAGGGATAATGAACAGGTGTGATCGTTAAATCAGTAACCATGGTGACAAACAAGGGGCTAGAAAATGAGAACAAAGGAAACAGGAAGCCATAAGCAAACTAAGATTCCATGAAAATGAAACCCTGCCTCAAATCGAGCCGTTTGACCGTGTGATGTCACACGGTCGGACGTCCCTCCCACGATTGTTGATTGTTGATGTTTTTCTAGTTCCATGATTATTACTTCTCCCTCTTTTAGGTGTGTGGACATTCTGGAACTGTCTGAACTGCGGGATCTCCTGAAGTTCCATGACCACACCCTTCGCCTCTACTCGGCCCTTTCAGCTCATGGAAACACACATGTAAGCCACGCCCTCTGCAGCCATGTGGACCAATCACAACTCTTGTTCGCCTTGCAGTGTTCTAGAATGCCAGGTCAGCTGCGGATAAATTACTACAACCTCCTCATCAACACCCACCTCGCTGCCCATGCCAGTGCCAGGCAGGCAATGAACCATGAATACATTGTGCCCATGACGGATGCCACGCAGTCTATTACGCTTTTCAGAAATGACGGGAAAGTGCAAAGATTCCCAGGAAGTGACTTCAGCACTTCCCTGCGTCCAAGAATGCGCTTCACATCACCTTGCTTCATTAGAGCTTATAAAGTAGATGTGATGGAAGGAGGTAACGATGGGGCTTTGTGGAGTAATTTTCGCCAAGACAGCCCAGAGTTCCCATTGGATGTATTAAAGGCTGTTGTCATTGCAATGCTGAAGGAGGCAGTGACAGCAGTTGGGCAGGGTGTGAGGGATCCTGCAGGGGGCAGCATTGAGTTCCTGTTGGTTCCTCTGCTTGGTTTACTTCACACACTCCTGATGGTGGGTGTGTATCAGGGGACAGATCTGGAGGCCGTGTTTAGTCTCATCCTGCCAGTCGGATACATGAGAGGAACATGTAGAACAGAGAAGATGGATGAACTTGAAGAGAGTGATGGAGAAGGACAGGAAATAGAGGGTAGAGATTGGGAGAATGATGTCTCTCAGCAAAGCCTTCTTCAGATGAAGCTTCCAGAAGCTGTCAAATTACAGGTTGGCAACAAATCATTTAAAGAGGTCATTCACCCAAAAAATAAAATTTTGTCATTATCAGATAAGCATAAGAAGGCTCTTATGCTCACCAAGGCTACATTTATTTGATCAAAAATACAGTAAAACTTTGAATATTGGAAAATATTATAATACATTTAAAGGAAACCAGATTTTGCTGCTTGAAATTTTTGTTGACACCATGGTGCATTTTTTGATCAACAAAGTTCAAATAAAGCAATAAGTCCAGCGTTTTACAGTGAATTTAGAACAGCTAAGGGGGCGTTATTAGCCACTCCATAAAATGATTCATTTTAATATTAATTTTATTCATAAAATGAACACCAGCAAGAAAAAATATAACGTTATAACACATTCATTCCTCCGCCAAGCATTCGGTCACAAGTGTATGTTTGTTGAGTAATTTACAACGGCTTTGAACGCGGCTCAACCAATCAGAATCAAGGACCGGAACTATCCAATTTAATGTGTCCTTGCTGAATAAAGTTATCAATTTCTTTTCTTCTTTTCTTTTTACTTACCTTAAACCTTTGAAAGGTTCACCTATACTTCATGAGCACCAAATTAGCTTATTAGAATGATTTCTGAAGGATCATGTGACACTAAAGACTGGAGTAATGATGCTGAAAATTCAGCTTTGCATCACAGGAATAAATTACATTTTTAAATATATTCAAGATTTAGAAAGCAATTTAAATTGTAATGCTATTTCACAATATTAACATTTTTACTGTATTTTTTTTTAATCAAATAAATTATGCCTTGGCCAGTAGACTTCTTTCAAAAGCATTTGGAATAAAGCTATATATTTGTTTTCTTTCTCATCATCAGGTGTGCCACCTTCTGAAGTACTTATGTGACTGCCAGGTGCGTCACAGAGTAGAAGCTGTGATGTCATTCTCAGGTGACTTTGTTGGTCACCTCCAAGACAACCAGCACTTCCGGTACAATGAAGTTATGGATGCGCTCAACATGTCTGCTGCCCTCACTGCGCGCAAAACTAAAGAGTTCCGTTCCCCCCCTCAGGAACAGGTCAGAGGTCATGGGATAACAGTATTAGACGAAGGTGCGTTCCATTCGACAGGTCCCTAAACAGTGTTCACTGCTCCCTACTCCCTGAACACGGTATATCAGTTGAAGTGGACTTCACTGACTTCCTGTGAAGTGATGTATCAATGTTCCCTTATTCCCTATACCATTTGTACCGTTTACAGTGCCCTTCGAACTGAACATGTTCGTTCCCTTCGAATTGGAATCTCACTTTTAACATGGCGAAATACCCTGTGAAGTCCACTTACGGTCGAATGGAACGCACCTTCTGTCCTTCTGTCATCATTTACTCACATTCTTGTCATTCCAAACCTGTATGACTTACTTTATAAAAGGAATTTTGGTAACGCTTCCTTTTACAGTACAGTAATTACAGTGTACTTACAGTGTACTTACCTAGAAAGTACTGGCTAATATAAGGTAAGTACATGGAACAGGGGTAGGTTTAGGTTTTGGGGTAGGTTCAGGGTTAGTACTAGTTATTACCCAATAATTGCAGTTACTAAAATAAGTACATAGTATTTACATGGGTAACTGGACTGTAAAATGAAGCGTTACCGGAATTTTATTTTTTAGGGAATTTATATTTTTTGTTACACCGAAGAAAGTCGTACAGGCTTGGAACGTCATAAGGTTGAGTTACTTTAGTTAGTTTTATTTTTGTATGAATTATCCTTTTAAAGTCATGTTGTAATGTAAGTAGTGACAGATCTTTACTTTTGCATCTGAATGAAATGGATTTTTGAAAAAAAGGAAAAAATTTAGGGCGGGAACATGGTTCTATACATTAGTTGTTCATTGGATGGAGGCAGATTTAAAGGCAAGCTTTCGGTCAGTTATAAGCAAGGTTCTCAAGGAGTTCTGTCTTTTTTTTCTCCGTTCAGATGAACATGATGTTGAGCTTCCGCGAGGAGTGTCAGGATTGTCCGTGCCCAGAGGACATCCAAGATTTGATGTGGGAATTCCATCAGGATCTAATGACCCACTGTGGTAGGCAGCCAATTAGGACGACCAATTGCATAATCGTATTACCATAAACTGGCATCATGACCTGTCATTCTTGAATCATTTATTTATTTTTCTTTATTTAATTCAGGAATTAAGATAGACAGTGATTCAGAGAATGAGAATGAGGATGACCTGTCAATCAGGAATAACCTCCAAGGCCTAGTGGGTAAAATAATGAATTTAAAGAGGAGAATGTCTGGCCTGCCTGAGGAGATTGTGAACAAACCTGGTCAGAAACACTACCAGTCTTTTTCGTTATGATATTGTGTTAATAGCCTCTTGATTCTATTAATCTTGTAAAACTGTGATTCTACTGTAAGTTTAAACGGACCTCTCTCATTCTAGTCTCTCTGCAGCAGCTGATATCAGAGACCATGATGCACTGGGCCCAAGAGGGTGCGATTGAAGACCCCGTTCTGGTGCGTGCTGTTTTCAGCCTGCTGCTACAACAGTATGCTGGGCTGGATGGCCAGATGTCTGCTCCACTACAGAAGGCTTACTGTATCAGCCAGGCATCTGTGGAAGACGCTCTTAACCTACAGTGGGCTCTAGCATGCATTCGCTCATTGCTCACGGCTAGGATGGGCAAAGAAGAAGAGGAACTTATGATTAGAGGACTGGGGTGAGTGACGGTAGCTGTTTATATAGGTAGAACACTAGGCATTATACAGCGTCTATAGTTTCACTCAATAATTGTCACTTGACCTTTTCAAATAGCATGAGAGTTGCAACCTTCTTCATAATTATTATAAAACCCAAAGGAAAGAGAAATGTATAAGTTGACTCATTTAACTTATTAACTTATTTACTCAATTATAATATGTGACAGAGAACAAAAAATACATTAACATTCTCTGAACGACTTGCTTGCTAATTAAGCTTTGTCATCACAGGAATAAATTACATTTTAAAATGCATTAAAACTGAAAAAAAAGTATTTTAAATTGTAAAACATATATCACAATATTACTGTTTTTACTGTGTTTTTTTTAACCAAATAAATGCAGTCTAGGTGAGAAAACTTAGAGACTTAAAAAAAAAAAAAAACATTAAAGAAATCTTACCAACCCCAAACTTTTAAACGGTGCTGTATTTTCATGATTAAGCACAAATACATAATTATTATTATTTTTATTTATTTTTTTGCATTTCTAATCAGGCACTAAACTTGATACCCATGAAATGTCTTAGCCCATATAATTAATTTTAACACATCCTATAATGCAGCATTCATCCCCCCTGTTTTCTATGCTATATTGCTATGTCCAAGCCAGGTTATCCTTTATTTGAGACCTGAGTTTTCTCTTGTGTAGTGACATCATGAACAATAAAGTTTTCTACCAGCATCCTAATCTGATGAGAGCTCTGGGGATGCATGAGACCGTCATGGAAGTTATGGTGAATGTACTTGGTGCTAGAGCATCCAAGGTAATCGTACTAACAATTACTTTCAGTGATTATCATCTTATGTGTTCATTAATGTTCAGTAGTCAGATGTCAATTGCATAATATAACCTAATCATTAGATTAAGTTGAATGTTTTACTTTATTCACTCCAGTGAGGTCCTCTGATAACTCCGATTCTCTTGCCTCATTAAGGAAATCATGTTCCCTAAGATGGTTGCACACTGCTGTCGTTTCCTGTGTTATTTCTGTCGAATCAGTCGCCATAACCAGAAAGCCATGTTTGATCATCTCAGCTACCTGCTGGACAACAGCAATGTAGGACTTGGTAGGTTCATACTGATCTGGTTTAACCCATAAATAACCTTCAACTTGAACATTTTTATGGAAGTAGACTAAGTAAATGTGATGTTTTTTTTTTCTGATCAGCGTCACCTTCAATGAGAGGATCGACTCCTCTGGATGTGGCGGCCGCTTCTGTCATGGACAACAACGAGCTGGCACTTGCTCTCACGGAGGCAGATCTAGAGAAAGTAAGTCTCACTGACGGATTGCTTTTTCTCTCTTCTACATCCCTTGTGACTTTTGGTGATATTGAACTGGTCTGGTCTTTCTGAATGTGTCCGTACAGGTTGTGGAGTATTTGGGAGGTTGTGGTTTGTGTAGTTGTGCTCTGCTGGTCTCCAAAGGATACCCTGATATTGGATGGAATCCTGTAGAGGGAGAACGTTACCTGGACTTCCTACGCTTTGCAGTATTTTGCAATGGTAATGATTAGTTTTAATCTGCAATCCTGACCTGGTGAAACCTACATAACTGAATGCCTTTTTGGTTGGTTTTGATCAATTGTTCTCCTCATACAGGTGAGAGTGTTGAGGAGAATGCCTATGTGGTGGTGAGGCTTCTGATTCGCCGACCTGAGTGCTTTGGCCCTGCTCTTCGAGGGGAGGGGGGAAATGGTCTTCTAGCAACCATGGAGGAAGCCATTAGAATTTCCCACCAGCAGGATGGAATCAGTGTACACAGTTCCAACCGGACGCTGTGAGTGTTGTGTTTTTAGTTTTATTCTGTCTTTGTTTTTCTCATTTTCGCTCATAGCTGTGTCTCATTCTGACCTGCACTCTTAGTGACACGCTTGATGATGAAGATGATGATGTCATCCACATGGGACACGCCATAATGACCTTCTACTCTGCTCTGATCGATCTATTGGGTCGCTGCGCCCCTGAAACGCATGTAAGTGTTTCGGGAAACCCACTGGGGAAAGCTAGATAAGAGCCTCATGATGTGTTTGAAGGAGTGAGTTGGAAATGGCTAATTGGTTTTATCTACTTTTTAAGGCCATGTCAGTTTCCATTAAAGCTTTGAATGGTTTTTCAGTTTACTAATGTTTTTTTTTGTTGTTGTTGTTGTGTGCGTATGTGGCCTTGCAGCTCATAGAAGCGGGTAAAGGTGAGGCCATCCGATTCAGGGCAATCTTGAGGTCTCTCGTTCCCAGAGAGGATCTGGAAGGCATCATAAACATTCCTTTTAGTTTACCAATTATAAACACAGGTGCGTGTGGAAGTGTTGGTGTTTGTTGACTTGCAAACTTAAGTAAAATATACATTCATGATGTAAAATCATTCTTTTCAACACAATTGATTTATCTTTCTACAGTAAATCTATTTGATTAAAAACTGGGGTCAACGTAATGAGAGAGCCCGAGCTCAGTTTTTAAATAAACTAAGCATATTTAGGTTGGAGTTGCTGGGAAATTATGTAGTTAGTTATTTGAAGTCTAAAAGTGATTAATTGGTGGTGGAAAATGTTTTGTGCTTGTTATACTCAGATGATGTAGTGATCGAGCCAGACATGTCTCGGATCTTTTGTCCGGATCACAAAGCAGCCATGGTGCTGTTTTTGGACCGAGTCTACGGAGTTCAGGACCAGCAGTTCTTGCTACATTTACTGGAGTATGGTTTCCTGCCGGACCTGCAAGCGGCTGTTAACATGGATAACGTAATTTGAATTTGAATATTGTCATTATTGTTTCAGTGTAATAATGAGTTTTACTTGAATGTGGTTCCTATTTCCATTTAATGCAATAGAGTGGTAATAGAGCACAATGAATGGAGTCCATTCAATTGATGTACTGTATTTTAAAGTCAAACAATAGGCTTTTTTGTGAGGAACAAACCTGAAATTTAATGCATTTATTTACTGAAACATTTGGGAGTTCTGACTCCCCTAATTAAGGCTTGAAGTCTGCAATGTACGCTAAAATATAGGTTAATGGGGTTGTGTTGGCAAACATTTTTACATCGCTGAATAAGAGAAAAACATGTTTTTAAAGATTATTTATTCCCTTACAAGAAAAGGTCAAGAGTCATACAGTAATGCAGAGTGGCTGCAGAGTGTGAAAAAGAAGGGAGGGCTTCCTTCCTCCTTTATAGTTGACTCCCTCTTTGTCATCATAAACAACATGTCCCATAACTAACACATTTTCTACCCTTGAGTAAAGGCCCTTTGTCTCAGTTATAGTCACACATTTCTCGTTGTCCATGTATACAAGGTCATACACATACTTTGTTCTACCAGTGTAGCAGAGAATCATGGGACTCCACATGCAATCCTCGTTCATTTTACTACCTCACTCTAATTACCATCACGCTTCTAAAATTCTATGAATATAATCAAATACAAACATATAGAACAGGGATGGGCAACTTCAGTCCTGGAGGGCCATTGTCCTACAGAGTTTAGCTTCAACCCCAATCAAACAGACATGAACAAGCTAATCAAGGTCTTCAGGATTACTAGATAGTTACAGGCAGGTGATTTTTTTTCAGGATCGGAGCTAAACTCAATAAGACAGTGGCCCTCCAGGACTGAAGTTGCCCAACCCTGATACTGAACATATTAAAGTCTTCCACAGGGTCTTAAAGGCTTGTAGTCTTAATTCTACACATTCCAGCAGCTCTGTCTGTTCTAAACATTTCAACAGCTCTGCCTGAATGCAGTAGAAAAAAATATATAATTTAAAGTTCAACCACCCCTAAAACAGGCCATACCATTGGCGTGTGGGTCTGGTAATTACAAAACTGAAGACATTGACAATACACAGAAAGCGTTCAGTTTAAGTCTCGTAATTTAAGTAACATTGTGATCAATGAGTACAGTTGCAACATAGTATTTGATGAAATTTACCCAAAGTGTTGTATATACTCTACAGTTCAAAATATTTGAATGAAGTTACCCAGGCTGCATTTATTTCATCAAAAATGCAGTAAAACGTACTCTGTTACTTAATGTAACCTCGGTTCTCTCTAAAAGAGGGAACGAGTATTGCGTACATTGCTTATGCGATGATATATATTTAATATATATATATAGTTTTTATATATATATTTAATATATTTTATATATATATATATAGTTCAAAAGAACACAATTTGTTAGAAATACTGTACAAATACATTTTTAGTAACAATATAAAAGTCTTCACTGTCTCTTTTGCTCAATTTAATACATTCTTGATGAATAAAAGTATTATTTTGTATTATTCATACAAAATAATACAAAAAGTATTATTTATATATATATATCTTTATCTGCAGATGGGGTTAGGTGGAACAGACATGGCCCTGGCCCTCAATCGATACATATGTGTGGCCATGCTGCCACTGCTGAGTAAGTATTCCTCTCTCCTGTGTGACTCTTCATCTCAATGGACCAGGCTGGTGGATGGGCTTCTGGAGGGTGTCTACAGCCTCTCTAAAGCCTGCGGACTGACCAAGGCCCAGAGAGATGCCATACAGGACTGTCTGCTGGCAGTGTGTGGGTGAGGATGTTAGACATTGTTTGTTTTTGTGTTGATCATTGGTAAAAGTCATTAATACGATTGACACAATTACAAGAGTGACTGTTTTAAGGATTTCTGCAAATAATGTGGTCACTGCATCTTTGTCTTCCAGTTCTTGCTCTTGTAGGACTGACTTTAAGATCTCTCATTTACTGCAAAAGCATTTTTTTTGTACTGTATGGCTTTGTATGTTTATAATCCATTCATATTTTTTTAACTGCATGTGTCAAACTTCATTCCCTCAGAAAACTGAATCCCTCCATGCTGCAATTTCTGCTGCGTAATCTTGTGTATGACGTCCCTCAACTGTCAGAAAACTCTAAGATGCCACTTAAGGTTTAAAGAGAAAACATAAAAAAAACAAAGCATTCAATCAAAAAATATTTAAAGATGAATCAGGTATTCATAATTCTGCTTATCATTGTGGCCATTTCCTCTCCCAGCTGTTGACCAATCATTATGAGCAGAGCAGGAAGTACTACTGTCTGAATGATGGATGGGGTGGCTTTGGCTCCGCCTCAGAGGAAGAACTTCGTCTGACCAGGAGGCTGTTTTGGGGTATATTCAGTGCTCTTGCCAAAAAAGTGAGAAAAGACAGAAAACACTCTTTCATTACGCTCAGTTTATATTGCAAATATGCCACGAACCACGTGATCATACAATTAATTGCTCCTAAATAGTGTCTTATGGATAGAATGTCGGTTCTAACATTTGAATTTTACAGTTGAAATTTGTAATCTTTTCCGCAGTGTTACGATGCAGACCTGTTCAAACTGGCCCTCGGTTGTCTCAGTGCAGTTGCTGGGGCGATTCCTCCCAACCACCTTGACCCGAGCTGCACAGGCGGACAAGAGATGCACTTAGCGATGGATTCAGAGAGACGGTTTTGTCCTCGACCCCTGGACACCTCAAAGTAAGACTTCTATTGACTTAAAAGGGCCATGACACATGCTTAACCAGGGCAAATAAACACTCTTGAGCTTGATCTAATTGCCCGTGAGCACTATTTTTAGAAGTTCACTTTATCTATTTCTGAAAAGTGTATTGTGTTTATTTGATATGTGATGAATAATAATCTAGTTTTTTTCATGCATTTATAGTGTGACAATCCCAGAGAGGCTCGAGTTTGTGGTGAACAAATACGCTGAACATACACATGAGAAATGGTCAATGGACAAGGTAATAAGTTTCTTTACTTATTATTATAGGAATATACTTGATGATAATAGCCATTAATAGTGAAATATTTGGGACATCTGTATTTTTAATTGTGTTTGCCATTTGTGTTTGATGGTTCTTTTCCAGTTTGGTAATGGTTGGGTTCATGGAGAACAGCTTTCTGAGAGTGCTAAAGTTCATCCACTCCTAAAACCTTACAGAGCTCTATCTGAGAAGGTAGTTCACCCTCCCTCATACACAATGCAAGCACACACATTACAAACAATGTATTCAGTGTTATTCAAATAGATTCAAACGGGCAACATTCAGTTTATTTTCTCACATTGAGGTTGCTCTGTATTTTAGGATAAAGAAGGTTATCGAGGGGTCATCAAAGAGACTGTGAAATGCATGCTGTTCTTGGGCTGGACTATTGAGAGGACCAATGAGGGGGAGTCACAAGGCTTTCACAACCCAGCTAGGAGGATCTCGCAGTCTGGCAAGGTAATGTACAGTGTTGGGAATAGTTGATTAAATGAATTCGCCTCAGGCTGAAGGAAATGCAAATTCACACCTGTACACAAAGCTCAAACAAAGCTTTCAGCTCTGCTACTGTTCTGGATTACAGAAGAATAAGACTCAGGAGAAGAAAGTTCAAATGTTATGTATAACCATCATGTTTACACAGCGCACACAACGCCTTTGCACTTACTCCTGATTTCTCTCAACATGGGCACATGAGCGATGCCAGCCAGTAAGAGGGAAATCAAAGTAAAATGCGTTAAAAAAGAAATGCAGATATTTTGTTGAAAATTTAAACGTAATCTGATTACTTACTATATACTATAAAAAATAAAACTGGTGTAAGCAATGTAACTAGTGTTATGGCTGAACACCGTGTGACACCGGTAACAAACTATAGCACCAATACTAATAGCCTATTGTGTGGTATTCTGGTTTCTCTGTTCTATCCATTATTCCTTAAATGTAAACAACAGATATTTTGTCATTGCACTCGTAAGCAAACCGGACTATATATACTGTATGTATATATATATATATATATATATATATATATATACTGTATATAGTGCTGGTCCATGTTTGGAGCACTAGAAAAAATAAAATATGTTAAAAAAAAAAGCTGTTTAAGCTTACAAAATCCTTCCAATATACAGATTTCTGTATTTTCGTACCTAAAAAATATGACACATGTGAATTGTGTAAATCGAAATGTATTGCTTCTTTAAAGCAGTGCCATCTGCGGGACACCCTTAGCATGTTAGCCAGGGTTTAGTGCGCCAAATACAAGTAAAATATATGTTGAAACTGTGTTATTTGGCAGATTCCTGGTAACTTTTTTATGAATTTTGGCAATGTATGGTTGTGAGAATGTGATCTAGCTTAGTGCGATCATCAAATCGCAATGGTTATGATATAATTATATACTGTACATATAAAGACTGAAGCGCTGCATGTTTCAGAGTAAAGCAGAGCACTGTTCATTTTAATAATAATAATAATAATTGGGAGCATAGGTCATGTTTTCTTTCTTTTTTTGTCTTTAGCTCATCACATGTCTGAAATGTGTTTGTCACATTAATTTTTTTTTCATTTTTTTAATAATATTATGAATAGTTATTATTATTACATGATTGTTTTCTTACATGATTACATGATTTGTGTCCATATCTGTGTTTTAGTGTTTCAGTACCACGCATTCTCTTTTTGCATTGAACTGACAGCTATTTCATACTACATACTGGGATTCAGTGATTGGGATTCAGAATAGTGTGTGCTCCCTAAGACTGAATTAACAGCTCTTAGGCTTTTAGGCAAGGCATTGCTTATTCAGAGAAAATGGGATGCATTCAAAATAGACTCTTCTTGGGTTTGACAAATGCTAATAATCAAACTAGATAAATGCATTGTGTGTCTATATAGAACATAAGTTGTGTTTTGTCTTTTTAATAGCTGTCTTTTGAAGGAGCATCCACATTCAGTCCAAAGCCCGTGGACACGAGCAGTGTCACTCTGACCTGGGATCAGTATGTAAGCAGCCTCAATGAATTCCACACAATATAAATCAGCTTTTATTTGAACAACTAGTATAGTTAAAACAGCTTTTAGAAGAACATTTTTTAGGAGTCATTTTAGAAATTGCCTCTTATATACTGCCAGCAGCTGGCTCTGTACATTAACAGGATTAAAAATAACTGCACTTTCAATTTGGTGTTGAAGGCTATGGCAGAGCGGTTGGCTGAGAATTATCATCACATCTGGGCAGCCAGGAAACGGCAGGAACTGGAGAGTAAAGGTGTGTGTTACAGATGGGCTGCTGTGAGAGATGATACAGTAAATTCAATTAGGGTTTCTGCAGCCACCTGCGTCTTACATTGAAGAAAGACACTGAAATAGCAATGCTGAGATGAAGAGGTGTGAATGTACACTACTGTCTTTTTAAGAAATAAATACTTTTATTCAGCACGGATGAATTTAATTGACAAAAACATTTATGATGTTAGAAAAGATTTATTTTTAAAAGCTGCAATCGAAAGTTTTTCCTCTTTGTCGCTATCTCTGTTCGAAATCTGCAATTGCAGTTATTTGCGGAAATAGTTGGTGCATGAAACCAGTACCGCGATAAAGAGGTTGACTGGCAAAAAGTGTTTTTATGTATTTTGTAAATACAAAAAGACTCATCTTAAATGTATTTAAATACAAATTACATTTGATTTTCCCAAAGGCTTCAAAATACAAAATAGTTCAGATGCAAAAGCCTCTAAATGCCATTTGAAATTTTCTTCTAAAATGACCATTTTTATCAAGCTTGTATACTTAAGTTCAGTAATTTCACTTAAATGACAATTAATAGGTAATCTTCATTGCCATTAAAGTGAAATTACTGAACTTAAACATACAAGCTTGATAAAAATTATCATTTTAGAAGAAAATTTCAAATGGCATTTAGAGGCTTTTGCATCTGAACTCTTCATATGTATCTGAAATACTGCCTATCCCTGCAACTGTGTAATAATTATGCACTAATTACTAAAGCAGTGCCCTGGACAAGCTACGTGTAGGAATCAATTTATTCCAATAACTGTCAGCAATTGAATTAATTAAAATGTGTTGTATTTATATAACTATTAACAATGGCAATTGTCTCAAAGCCAAATTAGCAGGACTAGAATCCTTTGTGGCTGTTAATTCTGATGCTGTTTTTGTCCAGGAGGGGGCAGTCACCCTCTGCTTGTACCTTATGATGCTCTGAGTGTTAAAGACAAGAATCGAATCAGAGACAGAGCTCAAGATGTTCTCAAGTTCTTCCAAATCAATGGGTACTCAGTGAGGAGGTGAGGGTGCTTTCCTCCTACTGGATACTAGAATGAGGATGATGCCTTTTGAAGTGCTCATTTCATTTTCACTGACTGGATTCTCACTGCACAGGAACAAAAAGGTGTCAGATGCTGATTCCCCAGCGATTGCAAGCCGCTTCACTTACGGCCTGCTTCAGCAAGCCCTCTGTCTCACTGAGCAAGCCCAGGAGCAGCTACTAGAACTGGGTTAGACACACACACACACACACACTGGTTGTTCCACTCCACTTCTCTTCAATTACTTATATTTGCACATCTGTCTTTTTATATAACTGCCCATTAACTACAAGGCCTCACTGATCTGAAAGGGGTGTTAAAATGATACTTTACACAAATCTGAAAATGCTGTCATCATCCTCATGCCTTTCCAAACCTCATGGCAATCCAGACCAAGCAGTTTTCTCACAGCTCTTTTTATATTAAATTGGATGTGGCAAGAATCTGTCAGGATTGTTTTTAAAAAAAGGTATTCTCCTGAAGCAATATGATAGCTTTATGTGAGGGACGGACCAATATTTACTTTAAAGCGGCTTTCAAATCTCACTAGCATTCAGAGAGCTTTCATTGATTTTCAAATATGAATGTCATGGAAAATATGTAGAAATGAGAATCAGTGTTATTGTTAACTAATATAACACAGTCTCATCCCAAAAAGTCATATAACTGACGTTTTGGGACGTATTTTGACCATACATCAATATCAGCCTTTTTAGGGCCCCCTTAAACGTCGGTAGATGGCGATCCCGGGCCGTCATACAACTGACGCTTTACCTTTAACGTCAGTTAGGTGACGGGTTAGGTTTAGGGTTAGGTTTAGGTATGGGGTAGAGTTAGGATCCCATAACCTCATCTACCGACGTTTAAGGGGGCCCTAAAAAGGCGAATATTGACGTATGGTCAAAAGACGTCCCAAAACGTGGTTGACTAATACTATTACAAATAGTTTTTGTTAACTGAAATAAATTAAAATATTAATATCAATGTTATTTATAAAAATGATAAAAAATTTCAATAAAAAATATAGAATATTGCCTTGCAATGTAACTAAAATACAATTTAGATTAAGTTGAAGTACTAAAATCAATGAAAATGAAAATTTTAATATAATAATGCATAAAATAATGTACTAAAATAGCTCTTGCAAATTAGATTTGAGAGCTACTACAGAGATTTTTAGTGGATAAAACATTTTTGGGGGGTAAAGTGTTCTTTAAAATGATCAGAATTTCAGTTCATTCTATAGCCATTTGTAACACAGTCTCATCCCAAATCGTCATATAACTGACGTTTTGGGACGTATTTTGACCATACGTCAATATCCGCCTTTTTAGGGCCCCCTTAAACGTCGGTAGATGGCGATCCCGGGCCGTCATACAACTGACGCTTTACCTTTAACGTCAGTTAGATGACGGGTTAGGTTTAGGGTTAAGTTTAGGTATGGGGTAGAGTTAGGATCCCATAACCTCATCTACCGACGTTTAAGGGGGCCCTAAAAAGGCGAATATTGACGTATGGTCAAAAGACGTCCCAAAACGTCAGTTATATGACGATTTGGGATGAGACCGGGTTGTGGCTTGTCTAAAGCTTGTGAAGACTGCATTGAAATCTGCTTATTTAATTAGTGTTGTGTTGTGTTTTGCAGAGGTTGCTCAAGCTCGAGGGCAGATTAACAGGATTGAGAGAGTTCCTCATGAACAACAAATTAATTTCTTCATTAAGGTCAGTCATCTTTAATGCAGCTCAGGTCTTTGGAACTGAACTTTACACTGAAATCCATGAGAATCCATCACAGCATTGCAGCTAAGTCAAACTTATTTAAAAAAACAAAACAAATCAATTAAATGGATTTTTAGGATTATTTTTTAAGACACTGCACATGTTTATTTTGTGTATTGGCTGTATGTATTTTTTAAGTGGTAATTAGCTTGTGCAAAGCAATTATGTTTTTTTTTTGTTTGTTTGTTTTTTGTTGAACTGTAGTGGTCATGGTAGATTGCCTTTTGTGTTGTTTGTCCAGATGGACATCTCTGTGGATCATGTCACTGCTGATCTCGGAATTGATTAGATGTCATGTTTTGCTTTGTATGATAGTATGCGTCCCTGTTCTGAGACAATATGCACCCTGCAAGTTAAAAAGGGTTTCTTTCCCACATGAAGATCAATAATGGCACTCAGCAGTTCCCTGATTTCCACAACCATCAATCTCATTAATGCGCTCTAAAAATCGTCACTTCAAATTCCAAACCTAACAACAAAAATCTGAAAATGAACATTTCTTCATACTCTTGTTTTATTCTATATTCATGTCTCTTTTTCTTTTTGTCCCAGGTTGTATTGCCACTGTTAGATCTATATTTCAAAAATCACTATCTCTACTTCCTGTCCACTACAATGTCTTCCATTGGAGATGGCTGCCAGTCCACAAATAAGGAAAAGGAGATGGTCACCAGGTAATTTGTGACAATAGACTGCCTTGAAAAATGTTTATGTGATTATGTGGGTCAGGTTTTTCTTACATTGGTCTTCTTGAGTAAAATGAATAAACTTACTAAATAATGTCTTAAAGGTACATTCAGTCATGCTTTAAACCAATAAATGAATAGTACGTTTGTTTAAATATGTTTAAAAGTCACATGAGAGGAATACTCCAGTCATATCAGTAGCTTTATAAAAACTGCTTTATTTTGCATGGAGTGGGTGCCCTCATGGGGGCGGCCATGTTGAGATCACATGATCAGATGAATACTACTCAGTTTATTTTAGTAATCTCCTGTTTTTTTTTACCCTTTAGCTCATGGAACAAATGAATCATGAGTGACTGAGTATAGAATGTTAATGTACAATTACCTCAGTAACTGAATACTAAATAATTTGCTTTGGCGTGATATTGCATGTACGAAAACCATTTTTGGTGTCAGTATAAGTCCAAGGCGACTTTCTAATTGGCTAACAAAACATACACAAATTTGCTAGAGCTCACCAAAATTGGACAGTTGAAGACTGGGAAAATGTTGCCTGGTCTGATGAGTCTCGATTTCTGTTGAGACATTCAGATGAGTCAGAATTTGGCGTAAACAGAATGAGAACATGGATTCATGCTTTGTTACCACTGTGCAGGCTGGTGGTGGTTTTGTAATGGTGTGGGGGATGTTTTCTTGGCACACTTTAGGCCCCATAGTGCCAATTGGGCATTGTTTAAATGCCACGGCCTACCTGAGCATTGTTTCTGATCATGTCCATCCCTTTATGGCCACCATGTACCCATCCTCTGATGGCTACTTCCAGCAGGATAATGCACCATGTCACAAAGCTGGAATCATTTCAAATTGATCAAACCATTTTTGGTATCAGTATAAGTCCAAGGCGACTTTCTAATTGGCTAACAAAACATACACAAAATATTATTTATTTAGTGCACCTTTAATAAATATCTGAAAGTGCAAAATTCTAGGGGACAGTAAATATAATAAAGTAGAAGTCAATGGAAAATGTGTGTGTGTGTGTGTGTGTGTGTGTGTGTGTGCGTGCGTGCGTGTGTGCGTACATAAGGCTGATTGCATGTCTGTGTCTCCATGTCCACCTTTGCTTCTCTGTCATTACATATTTTCAGTTCCATCTATCTTGTTTTTTTTTCCCAATTCATTTCCCTCATTCCTTCTCTTACACGTATCCTCTCTCCTGTTATTTTCTAGTTTATTCTGTAAACTTGGAGCTCTAGCCAGACGCAGAATCTCTCTGTTTGGTAAGAGTTTGTGTGGTGCGAATGTCTTTTTCTCATACTCACTTATATATATATATATTAAATATTTAGCTGGAAACACTTTCAATTAGAAGCAGTTTGTATTCATCTCATGCACTCTCAGCATTTTCCTCTCCCATTGTTCACTCACCCCTGTCTTGTATTGCTGAGGCGAATGCTTATAGTACATACCTCATTAATTTTATTAACACACCCTCCATGGAAAACATAAATCAGGAGCTGGTACTTTTCACTGTCTAGATTGCATTTAGCTCAATGCCATGTTTCCTCTTAGGAAATGATGCCGTTGCTTTGGTGAGCTGTCTACAAATCCTGGCACAGTCCCTGGATGGAAGGTAGTTAATGCTACACTGTGTGTTATTTCACAGTCTGCTCAGTTACTGGATTTTCACACACAACCATTTCTAGGGTTTACGAAGAGAATGGTGTGAAAAGGGAAAAAACATCCAGTGTGCAGCAGTCCTGTGGGCGAAAATGCCTTGTTGATGCTAGAGGTCAGAGGTGAATAAGCCGACTGATTCAAGCTGATAGAAGAGCAACTTTGACTGAAATAGCCACTCGTTGGAAACAGCCGTGGTATAACAGCAAAGCATTTGTGAAGCCACAACACGCACAACCTTGAGGCGGATGGGCTACAACAGCAGAAGACCCCACCGGGAACCACTCATCTCCACTACAAATAGGAAATAGAGGCAACAATTTGCAAGAGCTAACCAAAATTGGACAGTTGAAGACTGGAAAAATGTTGCCTGGTCTGATGAGTCTCGGTTTCTGTTGAGACATTCAGATGCTAGAGTCAGAATTTGGCGTAAACAGAATGAGAACATGGATCCATCAAGCCGTATTACCACTGTGCAGGCTGATGGTGGTGGTGTAATGGTGTGGGGAATGTTTTCTTGGCACACTTTAGGCCCCTTAGTGCCAATTGGGCATAGTTTAAATGCCATGGCCTACCTGAGCATTGTTTCTGACCATGTCCATCCCTTGTACCATTCTCTGATGGCTACTTCCGGGAGGATAATGCACCATGTCACAAAGCTTGAATCATTTCAAATTGGTTTCTTATGATCCTTCTAATTTGTCTATGATTGTTTGTCTCTAGGATGGTAACGAAAGTCACTAGTGAATCTGTCAGAGTGCCGTTATGGTTGTTCTTTGAAGCCGCGGCAGAAGATATTGAGCTAACAGTGGAAACTGTGACCCGGGATGAGTATGGACTGAACCGAGGCCAGAGCAGGGGAGACGGCGATGTCATAACGTACACCACCACTGCCCTGATCCCGGTGCTCACCGCTCTTTTCCAGCATGATTCCCAGGGACAGCATGGAGGGGGACTGATTGGTAAGAGAAAAGGGAAGAGGGAGGAATGGATGGAAGAAATAGCAGCAGTTAATTAGATGAATAATGAATAGATTAGTGTGCTCTATGATGAATGAACAGATGGAGGGAAAATAAATGGAGATTGTGAAACGGCAGTGGAAAAATATTCACAAAGGGTTTTTGGGTTGAGCAGATCACTTCCTTTTAGACTTGAGTGACACTTGTCATCCTGTCTGCACATGATGCAGTGTAATTTATATGGCCCTGTGTTTGACCCCTCTTATGGGTACATCCAGTAATGTTTCGTACTATTTTCCACCATATAAAGATCTAAAGGAACTGGCTGTGGGGAAATATTCACTGTTTCGTAAGAAGAACAATGGCATTTGGTATTCCTTCACTTTCTCTGCAACATGAGAATTGTTCTCTTGAGCATGATCTTATATTAATTCTATGAACAATGTTCTTTACAAGTATCCTGGCTAAAGAAAATGCTGTTTGTGCTGCACTGTGGGACTGCAACAGTCTTCGCTGCGATAAGAGCCGCTGTGCAGCTCGTTTTTAGAACAGCTGCATCATGTGTTGAATCATTCATGCTCTACATTTCTGCTCTGTATTAACTGATTACCATTTCACTAGAAAGAATTTCACCCCACTTACTCGTTTTTTTTTTTTTTTTTTTGCATTTTGTCTGAATTATGAATGAAGCACACATACAGTTAGGATAAATTGTAGATTATCAGACTTTTTTATATATATATTGAACTTGGAGTGCTTGGATAAAACTAGAAGAAAAGATTTGTTTTTTAATCTCTGATTTATTTATTCTTTCAGTGGAGGAAGTACACTCTTGTTGTTACAGGATTCTCAGCAGTCTCTACATTCTTGGCACATGCAGTTGTTCTTTTATTGAGAGGTAACCCTCTATCAAGTATTGTTTCACTCAAAATGGATATTTCTGCTAATATTTGCTTTCCCTCATTCCAAACCCATGTGGTGTAATTTTCTGTAATTTGATCACAAAAGTAAATGTTTAAGATAATGCATCTTTTTTTTTTATCTGTATTCATGTCTGTCATGTGTGTGATCCAAAAAAAAAAAAAGAAAGAAATCACCAAAAATGGATAAGCCCCTCTGTCTTTACCCTCTGCCCCTCACTTTGCCGTCCCAGGAATACATTATATTTTCAAATATATTCAAATAGAAAACAGTTATATTAAATTGTAATAATATTTTTCAATATTTCTCTTTTTATTGTATTTTTAATTAAATAGTTCCAGGCTTAATAAGCCTCTTTCAAAAACATTAGAACATCTTACAAACCTCACACTTTTGAAAAGTAATTTAGTCAAGTTTAAGTTTTGGGGTCTGTGAGATGTTTTAATGTTTTTGAGCATCATTTTCATCATCATTACTCCAGTTTTCACTGTCACATGATCCTTCAGAAATAATTATAATATGCTGATTTGATGGTCAATTGGTCAAATAACATTTCTTATTATTTTCAATGTTGAAAACCATGTGCTGCTTAATATTTTTGTGGAAACCATGGTACTTTTTGGGGGGAATATATTGATCTAATAGAAATTTCAAAATAATAGCTTGCATTGGAAAATATCTGTGTAAATAATCTACTAAAACTGTTGTGTAGGGGAAAAAATAACAGTATACTGGTTTGGACAGACACAATAGTGAAGAAAATTCATTTTTGGTTGTCCTAACCCTGTAACAAATGTATTTTCTTTAGTGCATTGTTACTTTGAGTGTTTGGCTCTTATCATTTTTATTCTGATTATATATTATTAATGCTCTATTATTGTACGGTTTGTCCTTTTAAGACTTGTGCGTTCCATAGTTATTAGCTCATGTCTAGGTTTGTGGTTCATCTGTCAGCCTTTATCTTTGTTTTGATAGGCAGAGGTCAGTCTTTGGAGAGTGTCTGGCTGCATTATCTGCAGCCTTTCCTTTGTGTTTCTTGGAGCTGAGTGACCTTCATTCCTTCTCCGACACCATGAGTAATGAAGAGAGTGAAGGTAAAGGCAAGAAAAGTTCAATAGAACACAAAATTGTGCTAATGCTCACGCTGCCGCATTCAGTTTTTCTTTCTAGCCGACAGAGCCCTTAGGCTCCTCCCCAATTTGCAGGAGGCTTTCTCAGAGATCGAAGAGCTCGCAGGGGCGGGGTCTGCTGCCCGCCGTGCCCTTTTAACAAGGGTTACGGAGGTGACGCTACCTCTGGTGTGTAGCTATGTCTCTAGATGGGGGGAGGCCTGTAACCAGGCATCCCAGGAGGGCCACTGTTCCTCTGTCACACCCCAGCACGCTAATGCCCTGCTGGGTCACATCCTCTCCATCATCCACGCCCACCTAGGGACCGTAGACAGTGCTTGGATGAAACGCCTTGCAGGTGAGCTGGTACCGCTAGAGAAGTGAATTACTAGATTACGATCATCTGAGATTTTAATGTGACATTTATTTTAGAAGAAACAAAAACAAGTGCAGAATTACATTGGAAAGTTCATACAAGTATAAATATAAACCACAAATGCAATAACAGAGCATTTCTTTTAGTGTTTGGCCAGCTTATCATCAGCAAGGCAGAAGCACACCTCTTGAAGAGCCACTTTCTGCCTCTGATGGACAAGTTAAGGAAGAGGGCGGAGTCTGTGCTGTTGGAGGAGGAGCAACTGAAGACCGAGGGGCGTGGCGATGTTTCGGAGCAGGAGTTAGACATCCAGGAAAGGTTTACCGTGTTGGTCCAAGACATCTATGCTTTTTACCCTTTACTCATTCCATTTATAGACCTTCACAGGTGAGAAACAGTGCTATATGATATTTATTATCAATTATTGAAATTCCCTCTTGGTTATTGGTTAATCTGCTTAATGTTTGGTATTCATCAGAATGAGTTGGCTTAGAGAGGTGGACGCAGATGCTGAAAAGCTTTTCTCCCTCGTAGCTGAAGTCTTCATTTTTTGGGCTAAATCTCATGTAAGCAGCTCTCAGCCATGTTTATGATATTTCATATTTTATATTTTCCTCTTAAAGGGGTCATGTCATGAAACATTGAATTTTCTTTTACAGTATATAAGCGAAAGGGTTTTGGTTCAGTTTTCCTGAAAAAAATGTCTTGAAAAATGTGAAAGAGGCGAAAGTGCACATTGCCCCGCACATGACATGCAAAAGAAAAGTTAGATATCATGGATATCAACATTTTATTTATTCACTCCCTTTACTTGAAGGGCTCCCTAAAAATGTCCTGTTCTGAAATCGGCCATCAGAAGACGGCCATGGTCACTCATGCCTATTGTATTTGAACACTAAATTCAATTGAAATTGAATAAAAAAAAAAGCAAGAAATGATAATTTCATGGAAAAATACATTTTTTGAGTACACTCAAAAATTGAGCTTGTCCCCTTAATATCATCAGTGTGTAAAAATTTACAACATAAAATGAATATAGTTTAACATTTTAAATTTTTCAAACTTTTGTACCTTTCATACATTTTATTAAATTTTTATTACATTATTATCTTTGTTCTTTGTTTTCAAACCCCTTTTCCCCTATAGAATTTCAAATGGGAAGAACAGAATTTTGTTGTTCAAAATGAAATCAACAATATGACATTCCTGGTGAACAGCAGCAAAAGCAGGATGGATAAGGTCTCTTTTCAGTTCACTAATACTGGATTATTTGTTGTGAACACATGCAGTTTCCCCCTTCATCTAACTCTGTAAATGACCATGTAACATATTTTCCTCTCTAGTTCTTCTCACCTCTGACCAAGTTTAATTTGTCCTCATTTCTTACTCAATTCTTTGAAAAGAAATGTATCTTTGCCCTGTTAATCTAGAGGCACAACAGGGACTTTAATAAACATCCAATTCATTATTCAACCCAAATGTGCTGTTCAATAACAGCCCATTCTCACTCCCAAGGCGTCACCTAACTGACGCCTTGGGAAGCATTTGACCATGCTTCAATATCTGACACTTTAGGCGCCCTTTACGCCGCCTTCACACTGGCAGTTGAAATCAGCTCCGATGCGGCTGCGAAACGACCGGAAGTCATTCATTTCCTATGGAGATTCGCAGACCGCATGCGAATGGGTCCGAAACGGGTCCGACCGAGTGCGGTGCGAAGAAAATCGTGTCCGTTGGTCATACGGATGTGTTCAAAAATTTGAACTCGTGCGAAAAGCTACGGACGGTTCCTATCCGACAATTCCAGCGGAAGTTGTCCGTTGCTATGGTACTGATAAACAAACCTGAATTATTAACTTTTAATAAAATAAATATTAATTTTATAACGATAAGTTGTCATGTCATTTTTTATTTTAATGACTTTCTAACGTTTATAAGGGCAGTTAATACAATTAAATTGAAGGTAGACATTGAACTATTGACCACTATATCACATTTTTTAGCCGACCTGACATGTCAACGTCCTCAGCAACTTTCCTTACGCAGCATAACCCACCCACATCAGAGAGATCATATAGAACTGACAGAATTTTAATCTCTCCGCCATTTTTGTTCTACTCGCGTCCGACACTTTTCACTGTGTAGTACGACGTCCGTTGGGAACGTATTGCGTATTACGGAGCTGTTTTAAACTGCCAGTGTGAAGGCGGCGTTAGCGTCAGTTAGATGACGCCCTAGGATCGTTTGTACCCTACCCCCACCCCATACCTAAACCTAACCGCGTCCTCTAACTGACGCTTTCCTTTAGCGTCAGTTAGATGACGCCGTAGGATCGCGTCATGTAAGTGACGCTAAAGGGCGCCTAAACGTCAAATATTGAAGCGTGACGCCTTGGGGTGAGAATGTGTTGTCAATAATATTGAATGATTTTCTATTAGGAAGGGGTGTGCAATCAGGAGAGGAGCAAGGTGAAAAGGAAGGGTGATCATTACTCCACACACACCTCTCTCATTGTGGCAGCCCCAAAAAAACTCCTCTCGGTTGCCTTGAATGGGTGTTGCCATGGCGTTCAGGACCTAGTCACCCATGCCAAAAGCTGTTTCTCTCAGGTATGCCGATTCATACTGATCAATGTTTACAAAATCACTCATTTCTTATCTTGAAAATAGTATTACTTTTTTCTTGACATCTGAAGCATTCATTTGTTTCTAGAGGGACACAGAGGATGAAGTCAGGGCATTCATTCGAAGCAACCTGCAACAGGTGAACCAGCAGGCAACATGTGAAAGTGCTGATAATGTCCTGTGACAAAATTATAATGTAAGTCTCCTCATCTCATTTGGTTTAATTTTTCTTTTTTTTTTTTTTTGACAGGATCTGTCTGAAAACTTAGTGGATCCCCTCTGTGTTGAGAGGATCTTAAGGATCGCTTGTGTTCTTTTCCACCTGGATCAGGTTAGACTGGGAATGAATTGCTACAATTGATTTGAATGAATGATGATTGATGGCACAATGGCAAAGCCAGCATGTTGTGTATCACTATATCAGAATTGCCGTGGACTATTAAATGTAATTTTTTGGGTGAATTATTCTTTTACGGTTGTGCCAAAAACACTGTCAAACCTAAAACAGTGCAATTCAGGGGGGATCTTTGACTAATTTTTGTGTTTTTGTGTGGTTCTCTTCTCATTGATTTACATAAAGTTGTGTTTTCTGTAAGGTGGAGCGCCCTCAGAAGAAGAAGAGGGCAGTGTGGCATAAGATGTTGTCTAAGCAGAGGAAACGGGCTGTAGTTGCTTGTTTGAGAATGGCTCCTTTGTACAATCTCCCCAGGTATGCTACAAAGAGATTTATAAATGTATGTAAGTCCATTTACTCTTCATATTGCATTATGACTTACCCAAGTCATAATAGCTGAAAAACTGCAGAAATACTATGTTATTGAATTTACTTAGAAGGAAGATGACAAAATATCCTCTTTGTTGGTTTCAATGAGCTGAAAACAATATTAATGACTTGTTTTTTAAAGTGAGATTTGTCTCTTTCTGCAGACACAGTGCTGTGAACCTTTTCCTTCAGGGTTATGAGAGAGTCTGGCTGAAGGCAGAACATGATTCACCCGAGGACAGACTAATTGAGGATTTGGCTGTGAGTGTGTTTCTGATTGGCTGTGTTTCCCAGTTGTTGAGTCATGATGTTCATGTGTGCGCCAATCCAGAAGGCTAATTCACCACAGGTTCCCTTGGGAATTTTGTAATGGATTTTTAGAATTGCAGTTTTCAATTTATGAGTAAAATAATAGTACTTATAGAGACTTTCACATGTTGTATTGCAACATGAAATTAGACGTTGACACACTTAAAACGAGATTGTGTGCTTTAAAAACATGTTGCTAGCACATTGCAACTACCACAATCTGTTTTCTGAATCTCATGTTTTAATCCTTATATCAACTTAAAAATACACACAATAAAAACACAGTTCTGAAGCAGTAAATGCATTTGTAATTTTACAAAAGATTTTGGTTATACTTTATTTGGATGGCCCACTTTAGACATTCTACTAACTCTTTGCAACTAAATGTCAGCCTACTCTCAGCAGAGGATATTAGAAGACTGAAGTTGACTTTTAGTTTACTGTTAGAGTAGGGTGAGGTGTTAAGGTTCAGGTTTAGTTTACATGTACTTGCAAAGTTACTTTTAGTCTGTAGAATCTCTGTTGGGGGAGCATGACAATAAAGTGTTAGCAGATATTAAGCAGACAGTCTGCTAATATTGCAATTTGAGCTAGTTGACATGTAGGCATGTTTTTCTTTATAGCTATACATATATATTTTTTAAGAAATTGATTTTTTTATATATTATTTTTAATATTTAAATCACATTACATTAGCTTATATTAATTATATTCATATTAATATATATATATATAGAGAGAAAAAAATGGTGCCGGTAGTGACCTTGTTTTACGGACATTTTGATGATATGCCGGTCAAATATCGCCTCTTCAGTCCCTCTCTCCTAATGCCCCTTGTTTTATTTTTTGGTGATTTTAATCATTGTAATCTCAAATCAATGAGCAACTTTTATCAGTATATCGCATGCCCTACCAGACAGAACAAATCTATCGACCTATGGTTCAGTTAAAGGTGCATATAAATCCGTAGCTCAGTCTCCTCTTGGTTCCTTTGACCACAACACTATCTCTCTCATTCCAACCTATAATCCACTCCTCAAAAGGGGTAAAGTGACTACAAGAGAAGTGGAGATGCTGTTGTGGAACTCAGAGGAGCCCTTGCAAGCACAGACTGGCATGCTTTTATCAACTCATCTACTGAGCTTGATGATATTCAATTGCAATTAAAGGGGCTAAACTTCAATATAAGAGTAAAATAGAGGATACGTTTCATTGTAATAACTTAAAAGCTGTATGGAATAGCATGAAAGCCATGACATCCCAGCAAAAATACATACAATAGACCAATCTCTATTGATGGTTTTAATTCAAATATAGCGAGCTTGCAAATGCTTTTTAATGACAAAAATGGTTTTACACACGCACAGAGTGATCTGTTTGATGTTTAAGTGATTGTGCAGCCCCCCAACCTACAATCAGCACCTATTCTGTAGATCTAAGTTTTACAAATGTAATATTAGAAAGAGTCCTGGCCCCGATAGGATAACGGGTACATTTATAAAAGTATGTGCAGATCAATTATGTGACATTTTACTGATCTTTTTAACATGTCAGTTTCCAAGCATAAGGTCCCAACACTGTGGAAGGAATCTGTAGTTGTACCTGTGGCCAAGAACAGATACCCAAAAGAGATTAATGACCTATCAATATCTGATGGATAGTGATGAAGACCTTTGAGAGATTAGTCAAGAAAATCATGTCTGTAAAGATTCATAGCATGCTTGTCTCAATGCAATTTGCATATCAGATTAATAGAGGAGTAGACGATGCTACTACTACAGTAACTTACTTAATCTTCTGAAGCATCTTGCACAATAATAAGCATTTAACACAATACAAACACACCTTTTACTAAGGAAACTTGTGTCCTCTTTTTACCTTGATCCAGGTATAGTAAAATGGGTACTGGATTTTTTAACATTTAGGCCCCAGTCAGTCAGCATTAATGGGGTTCTAACTCAGAAGCGATTGTCATCTACAGGCTCACCCCCAGGGGTGTGTCCTGTCCCCACAATTGGATCTCCATATACAAATGATTGTAGGAGTCACCACAATAACAGGTTTCTTCTGAAGTTCGCAGACGATACAATACTAGTCAGTCTGCTCCAGGATGGAGAGGTTGACCATGGGCCTGTTTTGAATAGCTTTGTTGATTGGTGTGACCACCACTTCTTAAAGTTAAATGTCCTTAAAAGCAAAAACATGGTCATAGACTTCAGAAAAACTATTCACTCTACCTCTTCAACAGTAATCAAGGGCTCACTGTTGACCTGTTGTCATTATAGGGTATTGTTTGTAATTTTGAGGAAAATAATTAATTTAATCACTTTTGGAATAAGGCTGTAACATAACAAAATATGGAAAAAGTGAAGCACTGTGAATACTTTCCGGATCAAACTCGATTCAAATTGTATTCAAGTATTGGTGCTAGCCTGATGTGATCTTCCTGTCATCCTGTCATCGATGTGATTTATATTGATCCATCTCAATGGCAGTCTTCTTCTGTACCTTATACCCTTGATCTTTTCAATTCCTTTTCCAGTAATCTTTCCCTTCAAACCATGTGATGACAGACTATATATTTATATATATATATATATATATATATATGAAGAGTTCAGATGCAAAAGCCTCTAAATGCCATTTGAAATTTTCTTCTTTAATGATGATTTTTATCAAACTTGTATATTTAATTTCATTAATTTCACTTAAATAACAATTAATAGGTAATTATCATTACCATTTAAGTGAAATCACTGAACTTAAATATACAAGCTTGATAAAAATGATCATTCTAGAAGAAAATTTCAAATGGCACTTAGAGGCTTTTGCATCTGAACTCTTCATATATATATATATATATTACCCTGAGCTTTTTTTGATTCGATACTTTTATACCCAGCAGAAAGCAGCTTATGTAGAGATCCTAAAGGAGGGAGCAAAGCAGAGAAACATCATTGATCCACTCCATCAGCTTATCAATCTCTTCAGTCAAAGTGCCTTGACAGAGAGGAGGTTTGTATATGTGTGTGTTGTATATGAGTGATAATTTTAGCATGTATCAAGGCTAACCAAAACCATTTTAGACATAACTTTAGCAAGTATTTCACCTCTGTTCGAAAACTCTGTAAGATGTTTTACATTAAAAGCAACCTGACCAATTTGTCTCATAAAAGGCACACAAGATATCCGGCTAACGCTCAGTTGATGGCATTTAACACGTTGCTAACTTTATATATCAGGACAAATGTTATGCAGAACACACAAATATTGGTTGAAACTGCATTTTTTCTATCAGTATATTTTGCTTTGTACTAAAAACTGTATATTTATAACCAATTCTGTTATTTCTCATCTGGTTAACTCTTGTCGTGTGTACAGTACACTTGAGGAGGATGACCTGTACATGTGCTATGCTGACATCATGTCCAAGGTAAGAAGAACTGGACTTTCTGAGCAAAGTTTTTCATATTTGCCACAAAGCATGATGCATTCAAGTTGAACTGTAACATTTACACTTTAGAGTTGCCAAATTGAGGAAGACCAGGATGAGGAAGGCCTGAAATCTTTTGAGGTAAGCAATGGAAGTAAATAGGACCTGAGTTAGCATCGATTTAATTTTAGAAGAAAGAGCTGAAATTGGAATGCTGACAGTTATGTATTGTACAGTATTCAGGTTCATTAATTATGCTGTCAGTGATTGACTTCAGCAATAATAGACTGAGAAACAATTGGGATGTTTTATTTCTCAGTGAATTGATTAACTTATTATTTGTCTTAGGAAAAAGAGATGGAAAAGCAGAGGCTGCTGTATCAACAGGCCAGACTTCATGAACGCGGAGCAGCTGAGATGGTTTTACAGAACCTCAGCGCCAGCAGAGGTATCAGTCAAAATGCAGCCTGTTCCTTCATCATCTAAGACAAGGGTTTTCAAACTGTGGTCTTGGGATCCCCAGAGCCAGAGGGCTACAAGTGGGTCCATAGAGAAAAGGAGAAAAAAAAAAATAGATTTTACTAAGAAAGAAATTCTTAGAGCTGTCAAAGTCAACTTGTTTGGATAATATATATATATATATATATATATATATATATATATATTATTTTTTTTTTTTTAAACAGTGAACTGGCCATAGATATTTTATTCTGTTAACAACCCTATTTTAAAGGTTAAGATTGGTGAGATGTTTATGAAAGAAGTATCTTATGCTAACTAAGGCTGGAATTATTTTGTAGAAAATGTATTAAGAACTGTAATATTTTAAAATATCATTACAGTTTAAAATCGTTTTCTATTTTTAGTATATATTTCATTCTTGAGATGGTAAAGTTACATTTTCTGCAGCCATTTCTACAGTTTCAGTGTCACATGTTCATTCAGAAATCATTCTAATCATCCTGTGCTGATTTGGTGCTCAAGAAACATTTCTTATCAATTTAAAAACAGTTTTTTTCAGGATTGATTAATGTTAAAAATTGCATTTATTGTGACAACATAAATGTATTTGCTCTCACTTCCATAAAACATTATAAAAAGGGTTCCTCGCGTCATATTTATGGGCTTTTTGGCATCAAAAAGATTGAAAACCTCTGGTCTAAGAAACATGTCACCCTTCATATCTTGAACCATCTGGCTGTGACTTTTATTATTGTCAGTGCTGTTAAGTTGGATGTGATATTTTGAACCAGGTGATATGGGGCCTATGGTAGCAGCCACATTAAAGCTGGGCATTGCAGTCCTGAATGGAGGAAACCCGTCTGTTCAGCAGGTAGGTTTGAAAAGGTCAGGCTGGATTACAGATGTTGTGACGATAACATAAAACACCAAAGTTTTGACATTTAACACCAAAACCAACTTTTATAAAAACAAATTTTTCATGTTCTCTCTGTTGTTAAATTCGTTCTAGAAAATGCTGGATTACCTGCGACAGAAGAGAGATGTTGGCTTCTTTCACAGTCTGGCCGGCCTAATGCAGTCTTGCAGGTTCGGCTGCTTTTTGCTAATGCATTGTGAGAAATTTCCCTGACAGAAAGCAGTTGCTCAAATCATCTAAAAGTGGAGAGGTCCTTTGTTCACTCATTCCTCTCAAGAGAGAGGAATATCCTTTTACATAACTTTTATTCCTTACAATCTGTTCCATTGCTGCAATTGTAAGTGTCTGTCGAGTCTCTGTGTTAGTTTGTATTATTGCATTTGTATAAGAGCATTGTGTGTTTGATGTTGGTGTTATGATCCCGCGTGTCACAGCGTGCTGGATTTGAACGCATTTGAGAGGCAGATCAAAGCGGAGGATTTAGGAGTGGGTGCTGAGGGCAATTCAGGTACATCACTGACATCCACAACAAAGAGCTTATTTTAGGAATGTATCTGTCAGAAAAGGCAGAACTTAGTTTTTATTGACATTGATTTGCGTGTATTGCATTTTGCTTTCACCTTTACTCTTTCTTTCTCAGGCGATAGAGTAATGGCAGATGAGCAGCTGACCTGTGATCTTTTCAGATTCCTGCAGCTTCTTTGTGAAGGCCATAATACTGGTTAGAACAAACTTTTTTTCATTTTTTTTTGTACCTTTGGTTGCCAAAAAGTCAGAAAGTGAAAAAGCCATTTTGCAGATTAATTTCCCTGAAGAGTATAAACAATGGTCCAGCATATCACAATTTGCATCGAACAATGGCAGTGTAAGAATTACGTTACTGTTGAAAAGTTCTCAGCTGAAGGAAAAGTAAAGATATTTATAATGTTACAAAAAGGTTTCTATTTAAACATTTTCTTGTAATACTAATTGATAATACTAAGAAATATTTCTAATTTGCACTCATAAATCTTATACAGCATCAATGTTCTGTTCTGCTTTTGAACTAGAGGTATATGATTGAAATTTCCCCTACAGATTTCCAGAATTACCTGAGGACTCAAACTGGAAACAATACAACGGTCAACATCATCATCTCCACTGTGGATTATCTGCTTAGGGTCCAGGCAAGCCCATGACTCAACCCCAAACACTAGTTTCTTACATTTTTCATTTCACATGTCTTAATATACAGTACATGGAGAAAGATTGAAAAATGCTTGTTTGCTGTTACGGAATAAAGAAGGGCCCAAAACAGTGAGACAGATTGATAATGCTTTCAAGCCACCTCCATTTCATTTGCCTGATACTGAGAATGATTGATGTCCTCATATCTGCAGGAGTCCATCAGTGATTTCTACTGGTATTATTCAGGGAAGGATGTGATTGATGAGCGCGGTCAACACAACTTCTCCAAAGCCATCAGCGTGGCGAAGCAGGTGTTCAACACACTCACTGAATACATTCAGGTAAATGAAGAGATGGTGCTTGTATGAAAAACTGTAAATCTGCTTTGTCAAAATGCAGAGATTCAATTTCAAATAAATGCTGTGTCTTCCTTCATTCACCCCACCACCCTCAGATGTTTCAGTATTGTGAAGCAACTCATTTAATTCATCTTTTACTTATCTATTTTAGGGTCCGTGTACAGGTAATCAGCAGAGTTTGGCCCACAGTCGTTTGTGGGATGCTGTTGTCGGCTTCCTCCATGTGTTCGCCCATATGCAGATGAAGCTTTCTCAGGTTAGACCATAGACAAATTACTTATGAGCACATTTTTTTTTTATTGCAAAGTACAAATTTACAAAACTCAAGGGAATAAAAAAAAAATCGTTTTATTTCTGCAGGATTCCAGCCAAATAGAGCTTCTGAAGGCTTTGATGGACTTACAAAAAGACATGGTGGTAATGCTGCTTTCCATGCTTGAAGGTAGGAGAAATGTTGAAGGTCTTCTCAATGCTTTTCCATGCACTTCCTCTTCTGCTTGTCATAAATTTGGCATCCAAAACATTTCAGTATACTAAGCTAGTTTTCACATTTGGTTGGATTGTTTGGCCTTTTTTGTTATGTTGGATTTGCCATTAAATAATTGGCTCATATAAAAATCATGCCTCTACCTACCTTTTTGTAAAACTTTCTTGGCGATTATTCATGTAAACACAGTTGGTTATGTCTTAAGTGAATGTAAACAGTTGGGAAAGAAATCGGATTCCGAGAAATAGGATACATGCATTTGGTATTTTAAAGTGACAGCAGCCTAATACAGTATAAAACAACAAAAGATAGAGAGAAAATCGCTCACTTCTCTTGACTTATCAACTTTTGCAGTATTATTATGAATCAATGTATATTTAGTTAAGGTGACAATATGCAGTGTCTTAGATTTACATTGGTTTTATGAACAAAAAAACAACATAAAAACGGATAAAACAAAATGCCTTTTTACCACCACTCAAGGGACATTTGCGACATTTGTGTTGCGAAACCTGCAAAAAGCAACATAATAAAATTTTGCAGAAATGTTGGTGCAAGCAAATTTTTCCAATGAGTCTGGTTTGAAATCTTTACAGAGCAGCACTTGCGTTTGTTTATATAAACTGTGAAACAGTATCACCTTCCATATGAACCACATGATTTGGAAACCAACTTTTTCCTTTGTGTTTAGGAAACGTGGTGAATGGGACCATTGGCAAACAGATGGTAGACATGTTGGTAGAATCGTCCAGCAATGTGGAGATGATCCTCAAATTCTTTGATATGTTCCTCAAACTCAAAGATCTTACATCATCTGAAGCCTTTCGAGAATACGACCCAGATGGCAGAGGACTCATTTCCAAGAAGGACTTCCACAGAGCCATGGAAGGGTTCAAGCGCTACTCTAAATCAGAGACCGAATTTCTGTTATCCTGTGCAGAAACGGCGAAAAGCGATTTGCTGGATTACCCGGACTTTGTGACACGTTTTCACGAACCAGCCAAAGAGATCGGCTTTAATATGGCGGTTCTTCTGACCAATCTGTCCGAGCACATGCCCAATGATGCCCGCTTGCAGAATTTTCTGGAGTTGGCAGACAGTGTTCTTAAGTATTTCTATCCTCACCTGGGAAGGATCGAAATCCTGGGCAGTGGGAAGCGTATCGAAAGAGTCTACTTTGAGATTAGTGAGTCCAGCCGCACTCAGTGGGAGAAACCGCAGGTACAGTATTAAACAATCATTTGCTAATGTGCTTTTGTATGTGTTTCTTATACAAATCTTTTTAATTGCACCTTCTCAATGATTCAGGTTAAGGAGAGCAAACGGCAGTTCATCTTCGATGTTGTGAACAAGGGAGGAGAAAAGGAAAAGATGGAGTTGTTTGTCAACTTTTGTGAAGACACCATCTTTGAAATGCAGCTTGCTGCGCAGATATCTGGTTCAGAGAGTGGAGAGGAACTGAAAGCAAAGGATGACAATGAGGAGAAAGACAACGCAGAGATGAAAGAAAACCTTGTAGAAGACTCAAGATCCATAAGGAACATCAGAAAACACATAAAGAGGATAACCATTAGGAATATTATCTTAGCGATCTTCTCTTTCTTCCAAAACACTCTGCTGTTTATCACTCATGCCTTTTTAGGTCTGGCTTGGTTCTGCCTTTTTCTGCTTTACCACATCTTTTTGAGCGGATGGATTATTGATGTGGCTAAAGAGATGAACCTGGCCGACCTTTTAGGTGATCTTCGGGATCCTACCATGGTTGAGGCCATAGGGGTCAGAGAAGGAGCGGTCAGAGAGGATAACGTATGCCATAGACGTGCATTTTCGTCTCGTGGTAATCTCAGAGGCATGAGTCTAGATCTGTCTGCAGTGTCCAGGGACCCCCAGCTCCTCACAGATATTTTCGGCCTGTGTCTGAAGAAGGAGGGAGGAAATTACACATTGTCGAGTGGAGACCAACATTCCAGTCTGGATGAATTTCTGAACACCTCCAAATGTCAGGTCAATAGTCTAGAGTATACACCAGTGTCAACTTACTGTTAAACATGTCGAATTTGATTGTATTTCTTCTATATTATTAGTATACATTAATTAATTTGTTAAAGAATGCCCCTAAAGTGGACGTTTTTTTGCTTTTCTTTGTCCACTAAGGTCTTGTGTGTCCACTAAATGGACATTTGTGTCCACTTTGAACATTTTTTACAAGTATTTTGACATTTGTCTGGATATGTTTTCAGTAAGCAAATGCTGTGTCCACTTTTAGCATGTATGTCCAAACAGTGATCATTTGAGTCCCTTTAGGCTGTGCCCTGTTTCCATTTATGGTCATTCACTCTATGTCTGCTTTGTTAACAGGTTGAAATCTGTGAGGATTTTCATGAGGTACTAGAGGAGGAGGGTTCAGAGACTGAGAAAGCTTTGTAAGTGCTTCAGATTGGGGAAAGATAAAACTCTAAAAACAGCTTTGAAATTTGCTTAAAAATAATATGACATTTGGAGAAGATTTTTTTGGATCAAAAACATGCACCGTGACCCGAGTCTCATCATGAGCATTTTTGAATCACTTTGAAACACTGCCCTATAGAATCTATATAATTTGCACAATTTACTGCAATAGCTGAGTGAAAATGTCTTTTATATACTGTACACTACTTTTTAAATACTATTGGGGTCAGTAAGATTTTATTTTTAGTTTTTTAAAGAATTTCTATTTTAAAGCTGCAGTCCGTAGCTTTTTTGGGTTAAAAATGATCCAAAATACAGTACATATTCGAGAAAATACATAACCAGCCAGTGTTCAAAACTATCTGCTCGCCTTAGCTCGATTCAAAGCGGTAAGATTGTAATAATGTTTTTAATTCCAGTGGTACTGGTGGATTTTCACGGGAAATTCGAGTATGTCTTTGCGTCATTACGTCACATCTGTACACAGAAAGAAGAGTCTCGGCAGTGTTGCCAACAGTGACTTTGTTGCTATATTTAGCGAGTATTCAGACCCCTCTAGCTACAAATTTTCAAAAAAGCGACTAGCGACAAATCTAACGACTTTTTCTGGTGTTATTAGACTTTTGGAAACTCTCTGACGTGAAAGCACATATCGCTTTTACTCTTCTCAACGAGCAGCGGGTGCTACCGCTTGTGAGTGCAAAGTGAAACAAGCCTGAGATATTGCATTTAATTTTGCAGTGATGAGGATACAAATAAAGGTGAAAAGAAGTCTAAAAGAAGAGTTAGGAAGCTCAGCTCTTCAAAACCAGACAAAAGTGAAATCCAGGTATCAGCTGTTTGGATTATGATCTGCTCTCAGAAGACCAAACTGCTGGTATGTATCTTTGTCTCTGTTGTTTTCCAGCTGCACAATACAAGCATACTGTATTTAGCCATATGGATCTGAACACCCATATTTGATCTGATGACCTGTAATGTCTTTTCTCCGCAGAACTTTTTTGCAAGAAATTTCTATAACATGAGATTGTTGGCTCTGTTCCTCACATTTGCCATCAATTTTATTCTTCTGTTCTACAAGGTGAGTATTGATTTCCCTACTAAAAAATCAGCTTTAATGTTATTGGACAGGCTTTTTTTATGTTTTTAGGCCACTTGTACTGGGAAACCAGCTCAAATAACTTAATAACAGCCTACCCTGGTTTGGAGACCAGCTAGAACAGTTCAAACCAGCTTATTTCTAGACATGTTTTTGACATCTAAATTTGACCAAAAACAATAATATAAATACATTTTTTATTTAGGTTTCATCGACCATTGGTGATGATGAAAATATGGAGATCGTTCTTTGTGACGAGAGACCCAAGGAGACACAGAAATTGTATTTAGAATTAGAAGAGAACAGTGGTTACATGAAAATGATTCTTCACGTCCTGGCTGTCTTGCACACACTCATCTCAGTCTGCTGTATCATCGGCTACTACTGTCTGAAGGTCTGTGCAAGTACCCCACTATATTTATTATGGTAAAACTAAACTTATGTCTTTGATATAGTAAATACATGTCTCTCTTCTGGATTTTGTTAAAGCTCTCAAATGTATAGTGGTGTCCACAATGCTGAAACCAGCATTAAAAATACTTTTATTTTTCACCTTATTTTGCACTTGAGCTGCATGAACCTGATCATCATGTTCTCCAGCAGAATTTAATATGATCTAATGAGCATATTATTGTGCTTCAATGGAAGCAAGAACATCTGACCTTCTGAACAAAGATTTGTGACCTAGAAATCTGAATCAGAATTATTTCATATTCATTTCTGATTATAATTCTTCCTTTGTTTTTATTATTTCATTTTCAAAAACGTGTTTATTCATTTCAATGTTTAAAAATCACAGATTTTTGTATTTGGTATCAGGTGAATAAAACTACTTTTTTCATCATTTGACCCCTGACAGGTTCCTTTAGTAATTTTTAAGCGAGAGAAGGAGCTGGCTCGTAAACTGGAGTTTGACGGACTCTACATCACTGAGCAACCTTCTGAAGATGACATTAAAGGCCAGTGGGACAGAATGGTCATCAATACACCGTAAGAGTTGCATAACTGCCTCAAAGGCTCACATTATAAGCAATGAAACAATGGCTCACCTTCTATATGAATTTGTAAATGTAACATTGATTGACTAATTATCACTACAAATGTTCAGTAACCTTTTCGGTTTTCTTTGCTGTTTTTCAGATCATACCCAAGCAATTATTGGGATAAATTTGTTAAAAGGAAGGTAAGATGAACAAATGAAATATGTTTTCTAAAAGGTATTTTTAAAAACATTTATGAAAATCATTGACAGTATCTCACAGCTCTAACCTTGTGACATACCACTGGTTTCACAGACCAGGTTTAAGCCTAGTCCCAGATTAAAATGTATGTTTGAGCTGTTTTAACTGAAAGCAATTTACACTGACATATCTTAAAATAATGTCTGTGTTTTTTCTCAAGATACAAACGAGCAATGTTTTTTTTTTTCCTGAGGCACATTTAAGTATCTTTTTTAGAAAAAAAGCTACTTAAATGTTACGTTTTTCTTTCTTTTTTTCTGATTGACAGATTTGTAATTTTTCTGGAAAAAACTGACATGTCAATTCTAAAATGTACTTTCAAAACTGTTTAAAAACATCATAGTATGAAATGATCTTGAAGCTCTAATGTGTGTGACTCATCTGTGACTAACATCTGTGACACTAATTTTAATAACAACTAGATTTTTACTCTTTCTTTGAAAACATTTGAAGAGTTCAGATGCAAAAGCCTCTAAATGCCATTTGAAATTTTCTTCTAAAATGACCATTTTTATCAAGCTTGTATATTTAAGTTCAGTAATTTCACTTTAATGACACTTAATAGGTAATCTTCATTTCCATTTAAGTGAAATTACTGAACTTAAATATACAAGCTTGATAAAAATCATCATTTTAGAAGAAAATTTCAAATGGCACTTAGAGGCTTTTGCATCTGAACTCTTCATTTGTACCTGTGGTATTTTAAGAGATTTCTACAGTTTCTGAAAGAAACAGACACTGTCGTGATGGTACTGGTGTTGTGGGGCCATTGCTATGCAGTTGCTAGGGTGTTCCGAGTGGTTTCTAGGTGATTATTTAACCTTCTCTATGACATTTAGACTTAAGTCCCACCTTTCAGTGTCATTCTATGGGATGCTTTCTTTTTTTATCATCTGCCATGTGGAAATCGTAAGGTCAGTGGCTTAGAAAAGCAACAGCAGACCTCTCCACATAAAGACTCGTAGTTTGAGATATCATTCGTGTCTGCAGAACGAACTGTGTTGGATGAATTCCGTGCCAAATATAATACTTGGGTTCAGCACCAAGTAATAATGATCAAATCCCTTGATGTGGTACAGTAAGCTGTGTTATTTGAGCTGCAGGTTCAAAACTTTTCTGTTTTTGATTCATTCTGTTATTGCTTTCTGTGCCGCAGGTGATGGCGAAATATGGAGAGCTATATGGATCAGCACGCGTCAGTGAGCTTCTAGGTTTGGATAAAGCTGCTCTGGACTTCAGCTCAGAGGCTCATGAGAGGAAGAGACCCATACAAAAGCGTGCCATCACTGCCCTGTGAGTTACATCACTCTGCTTTCATTTATTATAATAACTCTCCAACCAAACCAGTTTCTGTTCAGGGAAATAGTTCAGTCTTCATAGCCTTCAGACTGACAGTGAAAAAATGATTTCACTTTGTGCCAGTTGATGGCAGCAGTGTTCAATGCGGTAGGCTTAAAATAAATCAAATCATTCTCATGTTTTCACAGTTTCAGATTAAACACTGTTGATTTGAAATACCAGATTTGGAAGCTGGGAGTGGTTTTCACTGACAATGTAAGATTCCTGACTCTTTGAACACTCAAAGTTTTATAACAGAAGGAATTGGCAATCAGTGAGTGAAATCTAACATGAAATGGTGTTTTGCTTTCTTTCAGTCCTTCCTTTACCTGGCCTGGTATATGTTTGTGTCAGTTCTGGGTCATTATAACAATTTTTTCTTCGCTGCGCACCTGCTAGACATCGCCATGGGCTTCAAAACACTGCGCACCATACTATCATCTGTTACACATAATGGCAAACAGGTACTACGCATTTTTTGTGTGCGTGTGTGTGTGTGAGAGAGAGAGAGAGAGAGAGAGAGAGAGAGAGAGAGAGAGGGAGTAGAGTGAATGAAAAGTGGCCCCGAAATGTGTTTAGACCCTCAAGTCATAATTAAAAAAATATGAATTTTGTGTTAATATATGTATATGCATTTATTTTGTATGTTTATATACTGGTTACCTATTTTAAACAACTGTTACCTATTTTAATATATTTTAAAATGTGATTTATTCCTGTTACACTATGCCAAAGCTGAATTTTCAGCTTTCAGTGTCACATGATCCTACAGAAATCATTCTAAAAAGCTGATTTGATGTTCATTTTTTTATTTTCATCAATGTTTAAAACAGTTCTGCTGCTTTATATTTTTGTGGAAACATTGATTATTTTTCAGGATTCCTTGTTGAATATAACAGACCTCTGTGCCATCTTTCTTTAAAATCAAGTGGTTTCTTATTTTCTTGTTGTCATCTAATGCAGTAAGATTCATGTATTTTTAAGTGCGACATCGTCCACTTCTTTGGGTCACTGTATATCTGCAAAGATGAGATGAAAGGCTGTTGTCTGTTTTTTTTTTAGCTGGTTTTGACAGTGGGACTGTTGGCCGTGGTCGTGTATCTCTACACCGTGGTTGCCTTTAACTTCTTCCGCAAGTTTTACAACAAGAGCGAGGACGGTGAACCAGTGGACATGAAATGTGATGATATGCTCACAGTGAGTGAGCATTTATATCATTTATCTCTGTCTATTTATCTCTTAGGTTTAGAAATAGTCATGGGTTTGATGTCAAAATCACGAAAGTTTGGGGTTGGTAAGAAATATTTAAGTCTCTTATACTCACCAAGACTGCATTTATTTGACAAAAAAAACATAAAAAAAACATCTCTGGTTACAAATGTAACCCTGGTTCCCTGAGAAGGGGAACGAGACACTGTGTCTGAACATGCCACGGGGTGTATATTTTTGGTCACTTAATTTAAAATCACAATTGAATGCATCCTTGATGAAAAAAAAAGAGTTCCTATTCAGTATTCAGCAGCCTAGCAGAGGTGTTGTTACTCATTTCACATGTGAAAATGTTAGCCAATCATAGCAGAATCCATTGACATAATACATATAGGTTATACATAACCTATACATTAACCTTTAAAGGTTAAAAGATCTTGTTAAAATCAGAAAGGTGGTGGGAAATAGTTATATAAAACACATGTATTACTGTTTTAGTGCATGAATAAAGTAAACACAAAATGAATAAATCTCTGTGTGCTTAGTGTTACATGTTCCACATGTACGTTGGCGTGCGAGCCGGAGGAGGGATTGGAGATGAAATCGAAGACCCGGCTGGTGACGAGTTTGAATTCTATCGTGTAATCTTCGACATCACCTTCTTCTTCTTCGTCATCGTCATCCTCCTTGCCATCATTCAGGGTGAGTGATAGAGAGATCGTGAGAGTCATTGTAGCGAAAGGGCAAAAAACTTAAATGTGCACCAAATTTCAAAAAGGACAATGAGCCGAAGTGTTCAGTTTTTTTTTTATCATTTAGTTTGTCCTCTAACTTGAGTCATGCAGAGCTGGAGAGCTTCATTAAAAGATCACCCTCTCACATGCTGAGAGGGATTTATGAGAAGAGATCTGAGGACTGTGTGATGCTAGAAGTGTGTCTGATGTGTGGGGTCAAATAATACTCATTCAAATGTTTGGCATTTGGCAACTTAATTGTGTTTGTGACTGGTGAATTGCTCTGTTGTCATATCGTTTGAAAGGTCTTATCATTGATGCATTTGGCGAGTTGAGAGACCAGCAGGAGCAGGTTAAAGAGGACATGGAGGTGAGTTTTCATTCAACTTCAGATTTGACATTTATCACCACACTTTTTATCACATCTTGTATCAAACTGATGTTGCCTCTCGTCTTGTGTTCTAATTAACACACTGAATTAATTGATCAAAACCCAAACATTTCCTTAATTATAAATCAGAGCTACATTGCACTTGTTGTGAGTTAATATTTTAGTTCTCTGTTAGTAAATATGTCATTAATCTCTGCCAGATGGACTTTGGACTAGACGTTAGTTAAATGCTTATTGATCATCTATAATTAAACAGTGAATGTGGCATGCCATTAAGTCTGTTTTTTACTGCAGACTAAGTGTTTTATCTGTGGCATTGGGAGCGAGTACTTTGACACGATGCCCCATGGCTTTGAGTCACACACGCTGCAAGAACACAACCTGGCCAACTATCTGTGAGTACTAAAGAACTGAGAATAAGGTCAGAGGTCACTTTTGCCTAATTTCCATCATGTTTTTCAGTCACAATTTTAAAGACTGTTGTGTGATCAGTATACTGTTCAGGACAAGAGAGCATGTCACGTGACAAAAGTACTGTAGTGGTACAACAATGGGAATGAAACATGAAAATAATGAATGATTAACATATTCATATACCTTTGTATTTGCATGGTACTGTACATCAAGTTTTTTTTTTTTTTTTTAAAGAATACCATTTTATTTCCAATTCATTGTATCCAGAAAAACCTTGATAATATTGTTAATGTTAATAAAATCATAATAATCATGACCTTAAGTTAAATAAACAATACCCACAAAGTTTAATCTGTTAAAATAGGAGTCTTGTTTCTATTTTTATTCGCTGAAAGTGGATAACATTTGTTTTGCGTTTTGTTCGCCCTTTAGGTTCTTTCTGATGTACCTCATAAATAAGGATGTTACAGAACATACTGGACAGGTACAGCATGTAATAAAATATAAATACATGTGGATAAATAAAAAATATAGATGGATAATTTCAGAGTGAAAGATGTGTACTTAATAATAAAATATTATGTGAAACCACTGAAAAGGGAGTTTGGGGTCAGTGAGATTTTCCAAATAGTTTTTGAAAGAAGTCTCTCATTCTCATTAAGGCTGCATTAATTTGATCAAAATACCACTAATAATAGAAAACATTTTAATGTTTTAAAGTACTCTGACTGCTACACTCTTTAACACAACCAGGAATCATATGTGTGGAAGATGTTCCAGGAACGCTGCTGGGAGTTCTTTCCTGTTGGAGACTGTTTCCGGAAACAGTATGAGGTTCAGCTCAGCTGAAGAATTCCACTTCAGTATCTATAGTTCAGTTGGTGAATACACTTTTGATGTACTGTATGTCTGGCTGGGACGTTCTTCTGATAATTAGAAACTTGTGTATAGTTACTCTTTTGTTTTGCATGCTTGTTTGATTCTCACTATATATTCTTTACTACATATATATTTTTTCAGTTCACATTTATTTGTATAGCGGTTTTCACAATACAAATCATTTCAATGAGGCTTTGCCCGGAAATGTAATGTAATGCACAAAAACGCATGTTTCTACATTACAATTAAGAGTAATCTGTTACAGCTCTATGATAATACAAATCATGCAGTTAGCCAACATCATTTATTCACTTAAACAGAAACAATGAGGATGTCAAACAATTATGACAATATGTTGTGATCATAATGATTACAACACATGGGAAACTTGTCAGTTTTAGTTATGTTACTTTAATAACCCTGGCTGCATCTTAATGCATCTCAAGCATGTGTTTTGTTTTCTGTGCCACAAGATTATATGAAAGTGAGAATGACTTTATAAAACATTCAGTTCTGCTTTTTTTCCTGAAGCAGCTGGTGCAGTTCTTCAGCAGAATGAAGAGTCTTCGGTTTTGGGTCCATTATATCAGTGCCAAACTCAAGCACGTCATAACGGCTCCTGACACTTAAGCTGATTCACAAACACTTCATAAGCCACTCGCTAGTTCAAATGATGTTTGCTCCATGACCTACCATTGAATCGTTTTCTCTTTTTGTTTTATAAAAGCATAGCATGCCGAGGGACATTACGTGTTTGAATTATTGGAACTCATTATAAATTCTTCATAATTAATAGAAATAAATTTACCAACGTGAAGTCGGCTGTAGTGGTAGTTTATCAATAGACACTACGCATTAAATTACTTCCTGTGTGTTTATGCATGTTTCAGTATAAGTGTATTGGTCAGAAGTAAATTCTGAAGGAGACTTGCATCTCGTTTCTCATTTTTTTCCTTTTTCTCTGTCTCTTTTGTATCTCTCTCCTGAGTTTTCATCATTCCTCTTAGGATCCATCATGCAAAATAATTTCTTAGTCAGTCTGCCTAGCTGACGATAAAATACACAGAGAATAGAGTACACAAATGGACGGAATACAAATATATAGGACAGAAAGGAAGCAGTAACACATCACAGACTGGCAGTTACGAGGACAAAATGTAAAGGACATGATCAGTCACATAGAACAGGAAAGGGAAAAGTTACTGTATTCAAAGGAAAAATAAACTTTGTACTTATAATAAAGCTAAATGATCATGTCTTTAAAAGCACTTAAATCTACAACCATAAACAAAAGCACTTACTACGACTCCTATTTATTTATACAATATAAAAATGGTTCTCTTTCTTCTCTTTTGTGCATTTCACGTATGTTGTAGTGTGTTTACTCATCTAGTTTATGGGAAACTTGGCATTGTGCACTAGGAATATTTTTTTGGCTCTAGGACAAATTGCCTGTGATGTTTCTCATTTGTAAGTCACTTTGGATAAAAGTGTTTGTTGAATGAATTTCAATGTATACATGTAGAAAGTGAGGCAGAGTTAGCAGAAATAAAGGGTACATATCACACCCAACAATCTTAAAACACACACACAGCGTGCTTTGTGGTATTTTTAAAAATGAAATACATTTTAGCCTTCAAAATCTCATTACTAAATTGGATTGCACAAAAAAATTGATCATACAAAGTCATTATACAGCATGATCATATATACCGAAAATTACAGAGATCATTAGTTTTTATTTCATATTTATTTTGTTGCTATTGTATTCGGTTTCATCAGGACAGCTTTTATTACTCACACAATCATTCCTAAGGCTCCTCTGTGTCATTTTGTTTGCTGGGGAAAAAAAATGTTTAATATGACTCAAATTCAAGATGACAACATTACAAAAAGGCTCCTGTGTAGCTTAATGACAAATGTACCCCTTAACTACTCCCGTCTGGCTTTATGCATTTATTTCTTTATAACATCTGTTGCTTTGTTGAACTGAGTTTGTGACTATAATTCTTGCAGAACAGAAGCTGCTTCTGAGGCTACATGCACCCTCGTGTTTAATATGCCATCGAATTGACTTTTCATGCTCCTTTGCTGCTTAATATGGCTCTCTGCACTCTGATTTGCACCGAAGCGAGGGAATTTAACTGTCACTTTGAGCTTGACAGTTAAATGGCATCACAAGTTAAAAAATGTACGATTTCGATTCAGTCATTTTGCAGATATCCCTGCTGAAAGTAACATTGAAAAAGTTTATACTGGTAATGGGATGCTAGATGCATTACGGATGAGCTGCATCCCTGTCATCCAAGGTCACATCCGCCTGGCATATTATCACAAAATAAGCATTGAAAAATGAAGTGTTGAATTGAATAATACGGACATCTGATGACAAAATACATTCTGCAACCCAAGGAGAAGGACATTGCCTCAACAGAGAGGCCTTTAAAGTATGTCCAGTCAAGATTCCTGTTGCAACATGTCACCAGGTTTCAACAAAGACAGATTCAAATATCAGCCACTACATGGCAGAAAAAGTGGATTTGGATTCATTGGATTTGGATTCATTGCAAGGTCAGTGATACGTGAAGATGAAGTGAATTGATTGGTCTTAGATACTTTTTTCACATTTTTCAAAATCTTCCACAGATGAAAGAAAGTCAGGCTGGTTTGGAAGAATGTGAGGGTGAGTAATTTTTTATTTTTATTTGGATTAACTATGATCAACAAGAATACTATTGTGAAATATTATTACAGTTTAAACTATTTTAATAGATTTTAAAATCTAATTTATTCCTGTGTTGGCAAAGATGAATTTTCAGCAGCCATCACTTCAGTCTTCAGTGTCACATGATCCTTCAGAAATCATTCAAATATGCTGATTTGGCGCTTAAGAAATATTTATTTTATTATCAATGTTGAAATCACCTGTGCTGCTTAATATTTTTGTGGAAAAAATCTATTCTATTCTGCCCCCCTCTTCACACACTTTTCAATAGTTCTTGTCAACTGAAGTTGTAAAGCATGCGTGTGATGGTTCCTTTGCACCTTCTTGTCAAATAGAGAGTTCCCGATATTTAGATTAGATATCCTGATGCCAACCGCAGACACGCACCTTCTTTTAGAAACATGATCTTGCCATATAGATCTGAATTCAGAACGTTCACCTTAATAAACTGCAAATGGAGCTAAATGAAGCACAGTCCTCCATAAATTAACCCAAGATAGTCTCTAATGAGTGTTTTCAGCAGGGGTTTTTAGCTTAAAATGTCAAACTTCCCGTTCTCACCCCCAAGCGACTTTAAAAGTGTTGGAAAATGCATTGAAAGAAGAGATTTAGTAACCATTCCTCATGGTATTTGGCTATTTGTAGGAGTTGGAGTATCTCCATTTTCAAAATCATTTCAAACGTTTCCAGACTTTCTAATCTAGATCTTTTAAATCCTTCCCAGATTTTCTGAAACCCTCTTTACAAACCCATGAATGGGGGTAATCTTCCTGCCTTAAAAATCCGATGATAAGACATCACATGCTGGAGCATCTGTCAACCATCCACCTGACCAAACCGTTTCATACTCTTGTATGAGCCTATGGCAGCCTAATGCACTTGATTGCAACAACACCCACATTCCTATGCCTCTCGTATTGTATTTTCCTTCCCCATGTCATCCTCAAACTGTGCTATTTCTTTCTTATATTTGTGATCAGTGGTCTGTTGATTATATCAGTGGTCTGTTGAGGGTCACAGGTGTTTTGTTCATAGATCATTGCAATGTGATCTCAACATAATCATAGGCATTTGTGCAAAAAGTTTTACACATACATTTTTAAAATGTTCACTATTGATAGCTATTGTACACACAGGGTGAGCAACTTCAGAGATTTCACTCAGCAGATTATTGCTGAAGTAAAAGCACTTTAAAAAATAAAAGCATTAAAAAGTTATGGAAGTTTTAAATCTACATTAAATCAAGTATACTGTACTAAATATTTTTTTTTATATAAAATATATATTTTACAAAATATTTTTTTCCTATAAAATCAAAGCCATATGTCTAACCAAGTTGTGTTGCAAATTTGAAGTTGATATCACAAAAATTGAGGTTCTCATGAGATTTTGTTTAAGCGCAATATCAAAAATGACATACATTCCATTGAATTTAATTGTATGCATTCTGCTCTAACAAATTAATACATTTCTGTCCAAATTTCACTTCTGTTACAAAATATGGAACCTTGAGACTCAGACATTTCTGACAATTTGTTTTGTCAAGACTAGAAAAGGTTTTGATCATAAATTATGATGGGCAATGAAAATGGCAAAGTATGTGTATGAATTCCATTTATTACCATTAAGTGACATCTCAACCATTTGGTCGAGGCCGATATTGTACAAATTATGGGATGTGTTGAAAAAAAATACATTGAGTGGTTGTGGTTACTAGCGACATAAGAAAATTCCCATCACTTTTTTTCTTGGTGCGGACTCCAAAGGGTCAAAAATGTCCAACCATGATGTACATTTGAAACAGAAATGCTGCATTGGCCATGTATACTGGCTTCAGTTTCTTTGAAAAGGCCCATATGTTGATGCCACTCAAGCTCTAGTATTAAAGAATTAAAGCCTAATCGATTAAGCAAAGATGTGATCTTTTATGTCAGCAGCATTTAATGCGCAGCTGAGCAGGAAACAGCAAGCAGGAGGAGGAGACGTTGTGAGTCAATTACAAAACAGACAATGATGATGATCACAATCTTGACAATCATGCTAATGATGATGGGTATTTTCCGATCTCCTGCTTCTCCTCCATCATTTCCAAGCTGCTACCACACTAATCTCCATGCGAGTCATGTTTCCGTAAGTGTGTCAAGTGTTTGTTTTTAAAATCTCCAACATCATTCTCAGTCCCATGCAGGAGAGAAAGGGATGCTGAAGAGCTTTATAACTTATTTGAAGTGACTCCCAGAATCTCTGAGGTAGAGCTATATGAGAGATACTAAATGACAGAAGCAAGTGCTTGTATGTGTGTTCCAATGGCTAAGCTCTATAGTTAGCGCTATGCCAAGCAGATAGAGGCCTGAGAGAGAGAGATAAGCAGTCTGAGAGTGAATGCTCCGGTCAGGATGGGTCAACTGCGCTCCAGCTCTTGTTGATTTTCACACTGCTCCAGTGACCTCAGAGGAGAGTATTGTTATCGCGGCCCAGTCTCAATCTCGCTCAAACAGACTCACCGATGCCCTTCAGCAACACTTCTCTCCTTATCTAATATTTTTTGTTACTTTTTCCCTCATAGTTTATCCAAGTTTCAAATTTATTGGCTTCATAATTCAGTTCAAAAGGTGTTTTTCACCGTAATGCCACAGAAGAACAATTTCCGTGTTCCCAAAAGATCCTTTTAGTGAACAGTTCTTAAAGGAACCAGTTTAACTATCCAAAGAAACTTTTCCCACTATAAAGAACACTCTGATTAATAGAAAGATCCCATGGATGTTAAAGGTTCTTCATGGAACCATCGATCCCAATAAAAAAAATTTATTTTTAATGCCTGGTTCAAATTACACGATTTTAGCCCGATTTTGGCACAATCCGTTTGACGTAGGGTGTCGTGGGGATTTGTAAACGACAACGGCCGTCGGGACGCAAGATTCGATCGTATCACCGATAGTGTGTCATAGTGGGCGACAACCTACGTCGCATCTGCGATGCTTCACGACATCACGACAAAAAGACTAGCATGTTTAATTTTTTTAACGGTCGTCCACGACGGTTCCGTCACATGTATGAGTTTGACCAATAGGAGCACAAGCTTTTCCGGATACAACTTTCAAAAACGACAAAACCAAAGAGAGACGATGGTGCTAACATTAAAACTAGAAGTAAAAATATATAAGAAAACAATATTTTACCTCAAGTTCTCTTTGGAGGATTG